AAAGTAAATATAGCTAATAGCTAAAAAAGAGTAATCAGTATATAAGAAAGAGTCGTCACCAGAGCTCTGGTAATCGGTCAACGGAGTTCCGGTCACATGTCGTCAGAGTTTAAAAATAAATGTAGTCAATAGCTAAAAAAAATAGTCAATACATAAGAAAGAGTAATCACTAGAGCTCCGACGATAGGTCACCGAAGTTTCAATGATCAGTCAACGGAGCTTCGGTGGTTGGTTACCGACAGGGTCACTGGTGTTAGAGCTCCAGTGGCCAGAATTGCGGAGGTGACAGTATTTAAAAAAAAAAAGGTCAAAAAAATAGTAAGGGCATTTATGTAATTTTACAAGATTTAAAAATTATAAAAAAGTACCTGAGGTCTGAATTGGGATTTTAAAATTCAGATACCTTCATTTGTCATTTAGTATTTTTTGAGGGTATTTTAGTGTCTTTTTTCCTTTTAACTACTTCATCAAAATTAATATATATTAATTTAAACTGCATTATTTTTCATTTTCACCTCTAACAGTATTTTTAAGTAAGTTATTTTTAGTATGTCTCACCAAAATCAATAAAAGACCTTAATCCTTATTAACTTATGGCTTAAATTTAATTTTTTTTTCAACTTAACCTCTATTTAATATTCTAACAAAATAATAATATATGCAATAATAAGTAAATGATACAATAATGCATCCATAACTATTTAATGATATGACTTATAAATAGAACCTAAAAAGTATTTTTAGGTTATATTAGATTGTGGTTAAGAGAGGACATATATATATATATGTATAATATAACTCATCAAGTGCTGTATTAAAAGATGAGAAATGACTTATATTAAAGATTATAAGCTTGTTTGGAATAGCTTATAAATAGCTTTTTAATCATAATTTACATAATACAAGATGAGTATGTAAAAAAAGTTTTGTCTCGACTTACGTGAAATGTATTTATACGTGTTTTTAAATTTTATCTCAAACGTGTTCTTCTACAAAATGTCTGTATATAGGCGGCATATGTATATGTATTGAGATCGGGTTAGTCTTGATGATTAAAATAATTGAAATTAGTTTTTCTTCTAAAATTACCGGGGAAAAAAAAAAAGTAGCCATTTTTCAACATGGATCCGAACGTATCCAAAGTCGTCGTCACTCTTCAACCCCTCTCAAACGTTTTTAATTTATTGAGTTTAGGTTAATAGATGATTATATATAAAATTTACAACACCCTATATATATATATGAGTCTCTTTATGATTTAATTTTCAAATTTTATATAATATCCATAGAAAAGTGTCTGTCTCCTTTTGGCTGCATTGGTTTTTAAGCAAGTTGGTGCCTGCGTTTCTTAAAATGTATATATACACTGCACATTTGTAAGGAGACCTAAATAAATGTGTTGACAGCAAAAATGTGATGTTATAGCAAATGTCAAATTAATTATTTTTTTCACACAAAAATTAAGTGGAATGAATTAATTTTTCACTCTAATTAATATATTTTGGCTTCAACGGTATCAAAATGATCATTTTATAATAATCTTAGCAGTATTTGGCTTAAGCGACTAGATAGTTGTTCTTCTTAAATAAGGTTTATAAGTTTGAATTGGATGCTTGATTCTTTAATATTAGGAAATATGAAGGTTTTATTCTTATTTTCTTTATGGTCGTACTACCTCCGACCCTAATTATAAAATATTGTTTGTAATCTACAAACGAGGTCTTGATTACAAGGCCTTATAATTAGGATTGATTACAAACGAGATTTTATAATTAGGACCAGAGTTAGTATTAATTTTGATTTAAATGGCTAAAATAAATTAATAATATGAATTATTCACATAAAGGGTGCATTTTTTTAATTAAAAAATGTTGTAAATATTTTGTTGAATTTCAGAAAGGGTTGGGGGCGGTGAGATCCAAGTATAGGAGATCTTGAATTCTAATGTGTGGGATGAATTAATGATAAGACAAAAAATATTCATTAATTAATTTCCGGTTAAAAAAATTTCAATCTATTTTAAAATAGAGAGATAAGTGCGTGAGGCACATAGTTGGGGTTGAAGAAACAGGGAAAAGCACATGGGAGTGTGAAGCCATGATGATGATAATCATTATTTTTTATTCTTTTGACCTTAATATTTTATTTTAATGTGCCAATATTATTGCTTGTGTACAAATAATAAATAAATAAATATATATAGACATTATATACAAATATGTTGTTTGTGGCGTGCAAGCAAGGGACTTCTCAGAAACATTCTTTTGTGTTGAATGCTTCAAAGGGATGATCATACGAATATAAAGAAACTTCTAAAGTCCATCAGATTCGCTTCATTCTTAAGAAACTTAATTTTATATATATATATATATCCTCTTTTTATTCAATGGCAGGTGGATTTTAATTTTGTTATTTGCTTATTTCATTTGAATTAATTGGATTATAAATGAAGAAAATTGTTTGCACCAAATATTTATTTATAAACATGGAAATATATCATGATTTGGATATTTAGATTATCCATATGTAAGTTAATATAGGAGTTAGGTATTGCAAAGATAAAAAAATTAGTTAAATTTGTTATTTATTAAGAGTCGTTTTGATTTCTCTAAAACATCATTTTTAATCATCTGCAATTGAGACACATAGTAGATTGATATCTTATATTTATGATCAAAATAAATTTTCTCATTAATACTTATATTTAAGATGGGAGAGAGTATAAGATACTACTTCGGTCCTAAATATGAGACTCCTTTTATAGTGTAAATTACACTATAAAAGGAATCTTATATTTAGAACTGGAGGAGTGGGATTTAATTGTTATTCATTATCATGTCTAATTGATATTGAAATTGAATTTTTAATGCTTTTTACTCACGAGTGGGCAACATTATGCTCTTAAGTTAGCATAAAGTTTCTGTCCCAAAAAATAAAAGGGTAGTATAAAGTTTATAAAGATTTTTTTTTTCCAATATATGTTTTAAGTATTGCGTGGAGTGATTATTAATGATATGCTTAAGCACTTATATTTTGTTTGATTTATATACCGATCTTAAAGATAAGATCATAATTTTATTTCACTCATGAAACCAAGAAAATGAAAAAAGAAAGAAAGAAAGAAATGCCTTGAACTGAAAAATTAGATATTATATAATTAAACTGTTTTCTAATCTAGTGGAATAATCATGGAAAAAAATAAATAATTGAATTATATATATATTAATAATTGTCTTTCTAGCTGGCTGTATATGGCTTGATGATTGATAGGAATCTAATTTACGACTTTCGAGTTCTGATTTCAATTTTAACAACATGCATTAGATTCGGGCAAAATAGGAATATTCTTAGATTTCTTTTTTCTCACTTTATTTTGAATTTATAATTTAATGAATAATTGGCAACAGCGTTTGGTCAAATATGTCTCGCACGTTGTGCAAGGGAAGTTGCTTCCGTGTTTTGCAATGTTTGTTTCCACTCAACAGCTTTGAGTGTGTTGTGTGGTCAAAAAAAGCAAGTAAATTGTATGATACTCCAAAGCACAAAAGAGAATTAAAATTAAAATTAAAATCCTGTATATAATAAAGGTAAAATTTGAAGATTAATGAATGAATTATATGTAAATCTAAAAGATAGTAAATTTTTCAAAATTTTTTTTTTGTTTCGGTACGAAATCACAATTTAGAAATATTTTGTTACAAAGAGTATTTAATCTTTTTTATTTGTTTGTACTCTGATAATAAAATATCATAATATCGTGAGAATAGGGATCAGAATATGATGAATCCCTCCGCATTGCTTGTAGGCCCATTCGGCCACCAATCTCTTAGGCCCACATTGATCCATGCAATATTTCTTATTTCTCAAACCTAAATATGCATAATGTTAACATGATAAAGTATATTTTTAGTCCTTTAGTCCTTTAACTTTAAAAAATAAATTTTTAGTTCTTTAATCCTAAAAAATGATTATATTGAACTTTTGAATGTTGATAAAACATTACTAACTGCTAATATATTAAATTTAATATTCAAAACAATCATACTACCTCTAGTCCTAATTATAAGAGTTAGTTGACTAATTTGAGGAGATTAAAAAAGTAAATCGAGTTAGTTATTTGTCCTAAATAGGTGTTGTCTTTTCTAAAATATCCTTACAAATCAAGTTTATTGACTAGAACTTTTATTATTAGAAGAGTTACTTTGGAAAAAAATGTATAAATATAAAAGACAAAATGGATTGGAATCTTATATTTAGGACCAAAATAAAAGTCAAACAGAGTCTTATATTAAGAACCGGACGTAGTAATTATTACAAAAAATCATCATTTAAGATCAATAATTTTAGAGTTAAAGGACTAAAAATATACTTTTTAACGTTAAGAGATCAAATTAAAATGTTACATAGAGTTAAAGGACCAAATATATACCTTAGCTATCTTAACATTATATTTAGGACCGGAAAAGTATCTAACTATGGGACCCAAATATGGTTCAAACTAGTCATGGATTTGTTGGGCCTTGTAGCTCAAAAAATATCAAGATCTTCCTTAAAGCTTTTTTTTTAAACGAAAGTGCAAATTATTTAAAAAAAATTTAATGAATACGTAAGTTAATAAGAAAAATTAATCAGAGACTCAGGTTTTATTGGTCTGACTGACAGGTTTTCCACCAACTTACTTTTTTCCCGGTTTGCATCGGATTGGGCTCGTATCTGCAAATCTAGATATGTCAATCTTTTTTTTTTTTTTTTGCCATCCTAGATATGGTCAATCTACTAATATAGACATCTAATATTCACTCTTATTTATTACTATTAAATGTTACCGAATTCTTAATAAGTAAATTATAAAATACTACCTGCAATCCTATTTATAAGACGTTATTTAGAGACAACCAATAGGGTTTTATAATTAGGATGGGAGGTGATATAATATTTCAACTCATTGTCACCCACGCCCCGGTGCTAGCTGCTAATGCCATCAAAAGAAAGAAACCTGATGATACAGAATGAAGAAGTCATTGAAAATATATTGTGAACCGAAGAAGTCACAAAAATAAAATGCCTTATCTCACAGTATTTGACATTTTCTCCTCTTCTTTAACAAGTAGCTTTCCCTCCACAAAATCACAGCACGCTATTGGAACCCCAAGCTGCTTTTGCAGTTTCCTCACAACAAACACTTCTGGCTCTTCACATATTGAAAGCACAGTACCAGACCTCCCAAGCCGCCCTGTCCTGCCAGCTCGGTGTGCATAGTGAATTGAGTCTGTGGGTAAGTCCAAATTAACCACAAGATCACATTCCTCTATATCCAATCCCCGTGCCGATAATTCATTGGTCACCAGCACTCTCACCTCACCATTCTTGAACTTTTTCAGAGTTGTTGACCTAGCAAGTTTCCCAAGATCCCCGTGTAACTCTGCAGCTTTCATCCCACGTGCCTCTAGCTTGAAGACAACATCCTTAAGTTGCTTAATATGGTTCATGAAAGCTATAACAAATTTGGCGTCCAGTGCATGAATACACCTTCTCAAAGTATCAACTTTATGCTGTAACTTCGTGACACAATAGTAATGTTTTAATGCAGGAGGTAGACTCTCTGCTGCCTGCGTAAGGGTAGTAGAGTTAGAATTTGAGGCAGGCGCAGATCCTGATAAATTGACAGGTTTGGAAGGAGAAATGGTTTCAAGCAGGCCGACTTTATTGGCTTGGACAAGAAGGGGATCATGCGCCCAGCTCCGGGCTGCCCTGACAACAGAAAATGGAACAGTTGCAGACACCATAATTGTTTGACGCTCAGCACGTCTAGGAACCGTACTATTTTGTGCTCGTGGTTCAGCTCCTGATCTTCTCCCCACATGTTCTAGTATCCGGTGCATGTCCTCCCGAAAGTTAAATGACAGGAGTTCATCAACTTCATCTAGGACCAGATAACGACAGCCGTGGGTGTGAAGTTTCCCAGCTGCACTGAGCTCTGCTATTCTACCGGGTGTGCCAACAACAATGGCAGGTTTATTTTTCTTGAGAGCTTCTTCCTGCCTGGATCTGTTCGCACCTCCCACAAGCTGTTGAACCACCTTTTTGTTAGCAAGTCCAAGTATCTTCTCAAACTCCCTCACTATCTGCATACCCAGCTCCCTAGAGGGAGCAACAACCACAGCCTCTATTCCCGTTTTCTTCCCACGTTCACCATCACTGTTACCTTCAGAAGTTTTGTTCCTCAAAGGGCCAACGTTAGATAGTATGGGAAGAAGATAAGCCAATGTTTTCCCTGATCCTGTGTAAGATTGAATTATGACGTCATGATTATTCAAGATTGTAGGAATTGCTGCAGACTGCACTTCAGTTGGACTCTTAAAACCTTCATTTTCCAATCTCTCGAGCAGCAAATGAGGGAGGCCAAGTTCAGAAAAAGACTTAGCGGCAAATGGAGCAGATTCTATCTGCTGCTTCTTTGTGGCTCCAACTGCTTTAATTTTATTGATACCAATGGTCTTCGCTCTGCCCTTTGAGGCTAAAGAGGAGGTACCCAATTGCTTCAGTTTATTGACTTTGTTATTCTTCCTAGTTTCATTTTCATTATTCAAATCGATGCTTAAGGGAGTAAGGGGAGCATGCTGGGGCTCTAGCTGACTTAGAGAACGGACACAGCTATGCAAACAAGAAGTACTAGAATTGGGCAAGAACCTTCGCAAGGGCAATGTCTCTCCAGCTAGCAGAACCAACCGTGCAGAGAACAACACAGGCATTACTTTCTTTATGAATTATATCGTCTCGGTTCTTAACGTAGAAGAACAAGAATATGGCTTCCAACAGCCTTGAAAAGAAAAATCCCACCTCAAGCTGCTACATCAAGCAAGAATGAACAGAGAGAATTAGATATTGTATTAAGAAAATACCCTTCAATAAGAGATAAATTGAGAAACTATGCCTTTCATTGGCACTATTTACATAAACAAAACTAATACTCCTCCGGTCCTAAATATCAGACCCATTTTGTAGTGTAATTTACACTACAAAATGGGTTTTGTATTTAGGATCGGAGGGAGTAAATCATCATGATTCAAGAAAATCAATAGCATAAAATAACTCGGATAATCATACATTGACAAATATTAATCTTTCAAAACCCAACAACAAAGGAAACATTGTGATAGAGTCAACCCTTTTAGCCAGACCTATAAAAGGAAAGTCAAGAGACATTAAAGATAGTTGACTGAGGCGTAGGGTGGCTATAGACTGTGGCAACTTAGTAGGTCTCTTTTGGTTAACTTTTACCGTTGCTTATATTAGGAGAAAAGCTTTCTTAGGGGGATACGAGGTTTTCTTTTTTGGAGTGTGATACACTTGTGAGGACTGGTGCTCCCGGGGGCCAGTTGGACCTTGCTTAGGCTTGGTTGGTTCTTCATTTCGATTGCTGTGTTTGTATTAGGGAATAGGATTTTGATCTGAATCATTGAGATTCCATTGTAACACTGATTCAGTTATTTTGTCATTAATATCAAAATCTCAGTCTTTCCCTACTTCCTTGTGTTGTTTCTCTATTGTTCTGCTCGGTCATTGGGCTATATTTTCTGGGTCCTATCATTCTGGTATCAGAGCGGTGTGATCCAGGGGCAGCGGTGATGGAGAATGAGGTGCAAGAGTTGAAAGAAACAGTAGCTAACCTGTCCAAACGGGTAGACGACTTGACTAGAGGAATGAATCTCATCCGAGAGGTAGTGCTGAGGATAGAAGCAGCAAACAAAACCAAAATGAAGCCAGCCTCTGAATCCCATGTTCGCGAAACAGGGGAATCACCTTCTGAGGATGACACAGCAAGCATAGCTGGCGGAGAGAGGGATATGAGGAGACATAGGAAGTTAGAGCTACCACTCTTTGCGGGAGAAGATCCCCTCGGCTGGTTTTTCCGAGTTGAACGATACTTCAACGTCAACTCCATAGCCGAGAGTGATAAGTTGGAGGCAGCCATAGTGTGTCTCGAAGGAAAGGCACTAAATTGGTACCAGTGGGTCGAAACACGAGCTCCTATCCGAAGCTGGTCAGAGTTCAAGAATGAGTTGGTGCAACGGTTTCACTCGGCACACAAGGGGGGAGTATACGAGATGCTTTTCTCAGTGAAGCAAGAACGAACAGTCCTCGAGTATGTGGAGGAATTCGAACGGCACGCGGCTCAACTGAAAGATGCGTCTGAGGAGTGCCTGATAGGTGCTTTTCGAAACGGACTGAAGGTAGAGATTAGGGCTGAGCTCCGCTTAACCCACGCTGCTACGTTGAGGGAGATCATGGAGTGGGCAATGTGTATCGAGGAGAAGAACACGATTCTGGAGGACGAGAGAGTGTCCAGGGCAAACCGGACCCAACGGTTTACTAATGGGCCCAAGCAGGGAGCGGCCCAAACTCATTTCTCCAGAGTAACCCATGTGCCAGACACTGCTAGAGGAGTCACCACGGTATCTACGGCCACGGAAAACACGAAGAAGCCAAAATACCGAGTAGGAGATGCCAGAACGAGCTACAGTGCTACGGGTTCAGCAGCAAGCAAAAAGAGTAGCTCTTTTCGGCGCCTTCCTGATTCAGAAATTGCAAGGAGAAGAGAGCAAGGATTGTGCTTCAAATGTGGCGAAAATTACAGTCCTACCCATATTTGCAGAAACAAGCAATTGCAAGTAATGATTATCGATTCTGAAGAAATCTTCAAGGAGGCATTACAAGAATTTGAGACCGAGGAAGAAGAAGCTGGGAAGGAAGAACGGGCATCTGCAATGGAGTTGTCCATGAACTCGATTGCAGGATTGAATAGCAACCATACGATGAAGGTGAGAGGGAAGATGGGCTCCCAAGAGTTAGTGGTGCTAATCGACAGCGGAGCCACACATAATTTCATCTCGGAAGACTTCCTGATCCAAAATGAGCTACCCACTGAAGAGGTCTCAACTTACACAATAACCGTGGGGGACGGCTATAACTTCAGACGCAACTTGAGATGCTCAGATGTGAAGATGACTATACAAGGTATTGAGTTAAACCAAACTTTCTACCCTTTTCCCTTGGGAGGTGTAGACGCAATGCTGGGAGTGGAATGGCTGAAATCCTTAGGGGAGGTCAGGATGAATTGGAGCCAATTAACAATGAAAATTGGCAACAGGGACAACCAGGTTTGTATAAGAGGAGACCCTACGCTGACTAAGGCCCAAGTCTCTCTAAAAGCTCTATTCAGAACAGTTCAAAAGCAAGGAGAGGCGTTCTTAATTGAATATAACGGGTTGTTAGGAGAAGACTATGGGGACATACCGACACAGATACCTGAAATTCAATCCCTACTGAATACGCATACCTTGGTCTGCAAACCTATGATAGGATTGCCTCCTTCCCGTTTTAGAGACCATGCCATAGTCATCAAGCACGGTGAACAGCCCCCTAACATTAGACCTTACCGATATCCTCATGCTCAAAAAAATGAGATAGAAAACCTGGTGAAAGACATGCTGAAGGCAGGAATTATACAGCCCAGTCAGAGCCCATACTCAAGCCCGGTATTGCTGGTTAGAAAGAAGGATGGAAGTTGGCGATTTTGTGTTGACTATAGAGCCCTAAACAAGATCACTGTACCTGATAAATTTCCTATTCCTGCTATTGACGAGCTGCTGGATGAGCTTAAGGGAGCTACAGTGTTTACCAAGTTGGATCTTAAATCCGGGTACCATCAAATCAGAATCAAAGCAGGAGATGAGTTCAAGACAGCTTTTCGTACACATGAAGGGCACTACGAGTTCAAGGTCATGCCATTTGGATTAACCAATGCCCCATCAACCTTCCAAGCACTAATGAATGAGGTATTTCGAGATTATTTGAGAAAATTTGTGCTTGTATTTTTTGATGATATATTAGTGTATAGTAGTGATTTTTCCACTCACCTCAAGCATCTGGAAGTTGTTTTATCTGTTTTGGAAAAGAACCAGTTAGTGATCAATTTAAAGAAATGTACTTTTGCACAACCAAAAGTGGAGTATCTAGGCCATATTATATCCCAGGAGGGGGTGCAAGCTGATCCCAGTAAAATAGACAGCATGGTGCAATGGCCAAAGCCCCGAAACATCAAACAATTGAGGGGATTTTTGGGTCTTACCGGATACTACAGGAGATTTGTCAAGAATTACGGCAAAATTGCTAGCCCTCTCACTGATCTGTTGAAAAAAGATGCTTTCAAATGGTCAGAAGCTGCTAGTGAAGCCTTTGAGCAGCTTAAAACAGCAATGACAACGCTGCCTGTGTTAGCACTACCAGACTTTTCAGATCCATTTGAACTAGAAACTGACGCGTCGGGGACTGGAATAGGAGCCGTGTTGATGCAGAAGGGCAGACCAGTTGCTTACTTCAGTCAGAAGTTATCCCCCAGAGCTCAAAACTGCTCGGTGTATGAGAGGGAACTTATGGCTATCGTTTTGGCTGTCAAAAAATGGCGCCATTACCTGTGGGGGCAGAAGTTCACCATCCGAACTGACCAGAAAGCCTTGAAATTCTTGCTGGAACAGCGAATAGTAGAGGAGAATCAGCAACACTGGGTCTCTAAACTCATGGGATTCAAGTTTGAAATCATGTACAAACCCGGCAAGGAGAATCGAGCAGCCGATGCCCTCTCAAGAAAAGAAGAAGTTGCTGCTATGTGTGGGATGTCCTGGTGGCAGCAAGATGATGTGGAAGAATGGGCAAGCGAAGTGCAGGCTGATCCTAAGCTTAATCATGTGATGCAGCAATTAGTCACCAACACTGGAAAAGTTGATGGTTATAGCCTCAAAAATGGATGCTTACATTACAAAGGGCGTCTAGTGCTCCCTAAGACTTCTACAAGGATTCCATTATTACTAAAGGAATTCCATAACTCTCCGGTTGGTGGGCATTCAGGATCTTTACGGACCTACAAAAGGCTATCCAATGTGGTTTATTGGGAAGGCATGAAGAAGGACATCCAACACTATGTTTCTTGCTGTGATGTCTGCCAAAAGAACAAATACCAGACCTTGTCTCCTGCTGGATTGTTACAGCCACTTCCCATCCCTCAGCAAGTGTGGGAAGACATTAGTATGGACTTCATCACAGGGCTTCCTAAAGCTAAAAGATTTGACACTGTTCTTGTGGTTGTGGATCGGCTCACAAAATATGCCCACTTCTTAGCACTTTCACATCCTTTCACTGCTAAGGACATTGCTGAGAAATTCATACATGAGATTGTCAAGCTACATGGGTTTCCCAAAACTATAGTATCAGATAGAGATCGAATCTTCATAAGTCAATTCTGGAGGGAGTTGTTCAAGCAAGCTGGAACTCAGTTATGCCTCAGCTCGGCCTACCATCCTGAAAGTGATGGCCAAACTGAAGTGTTGAACCGAGGATTGGAGACATATCTACGCTATTTTGTGAATGAAAAACCTAATCAGTGGCTCAATTGGCTGTCATGGGCAGAGTATTGGTACAATACTTCATATCACAGCGCAGCAGGGATGACTCCATTCAAGGCCGTCTATGGGAGAGAACCACCAACCTTCTTTAAGCTGAATGAGGAGCCATCTCCTATTGAAGCAGTCAATGAACAAATTCGAGAAAGAAATCATATCCTCACGGTCCTAAAGGAAAATCTTAACAAAGCTCAGGTGCAAATGAAGGAGCAAGCCAATAAGCATCGCCGGGATATCCAATTGGAAGTAGGTGACTTCGTTTATGTGAAGATTAAGCCATACCGGTTGAAAACACTGGCAAAAAGACTCAATGAGAAGCTTAGCCCACGTTTTTATGGCCCTTTTCAGATAATTGAAGAGGTGGGAAAGGTTGCCTACAAACTGGAACTTCCTCCCACAGCAAGAGTTCACCCAGTTTTTCATGTTTCTCAGCTTAAAAAATCTGTAAACTCTGCTGATGTATCTCCTACTATTCCCTCAGCCTTGTCAAACACATGGGAGCTCCAAGTACAACCTCAAGATATTTATAAGGCACGCAAGCTCACAAACGGTAATTTAGAGGTGCTGGTCAAGTGGCGGGATCTACCAGAATTTGAGAATTCCTGGGAAGAGGCAGAAACTATCTCAAAGCAATTTCCAGATTTTCCCCTTGAGGACAAGGTGAAGCTTCTAGGGGAGGGTGATGATAGAGTCAACCCTTTTAGCCAGACCTATAAAAGGAAAGTCAAGAGACATTAAAGATAGTTGACTGAGGCGTAGGGTGGCTATAGACTGTGGCAACTTAGTAGGTCTCTTTTGGTTAACTTTTACCGTTGCTTATATTAGGAGAAAAGCTTTCTTAAGGGGATACGAGGTTTTCTTTTTTGGAGTGTGATACACTTGTGAGGACTGGTGCTCCCGGGGGCCAGTTGGACCTTGCTTAGGCTTGGTTGGTTCTTCATTTCGATTGCTGTGTTTGTATTAGGGAATAGGATTTTGATCTGAATCATTGAGATTCCATTGTAACACTGATTCAGTTATTTTGTCATTAATATCAAAATCTCAGTCTTTCCCTACTTCCTTGTGTTGTTTCTCTATTGTTCTGCTCGGTCATTGGGCTATATTTTCTGGGTCCTATCACATTGTAAATCAACAGTCTTAATTCACATCTGCCTCACAAGCGACCTTCCCAAATAGGTTCATAGCTCAACCAATACAGGTAAAAATACATAAAATATAACCTTAATTCTCAATCCCTATATGAAGAATATCTTAGTCAGTGTTTTCTTCCAAATAGTCATATTATTATTTGATGTCCCAAAAGTCTCACACTAATTGATTATTTCCAAGATATTTTTTGGTGAATACAAGATTGATCAAACTCATTAATGATGAAATTGCAGTTTGAACCATTTAATATATAATCAGTGGCAACTATACATACGTGTGTGAATGTATAAACATATGACGATGTTAACTTGAGGAAAAAAATTCCTTTCCTAAGATGTAAAAGAAAAACAGGTCTTGGTTTCTTACCATATGCTGCTCTAGTTTAAGCTCTCAAGCCTCACATTATATTTGTTTAGGAATAAAACTCCTAATTTAATTTAGAAAACCATCCCTTCCTTCTATGCTTATCACTGCAGTCTTTAATCACTCTTACAGTCTTCAAACTCCTTTCACCACCTACTACCTCTCAATACTCTCCTCCACTCCTGTATTCAACATCTTCAAATGTTCTTCTTTTTAAATTACATTAGCATGTCATATACTGAACTAATTATCCCAATTTCAGTTTCCTTACAAGTTAAAACTTTTCAATGTTAGATGACCTCTAAAGTTGATTATTTTGGAGCCACATCCGTTATTTGCTGACTTTTACTCTCAACTACATATACCAAAATAATTTAGCACAAGTACTCACAAGCCATTTCAATACATTTCCAAACGGTTACAAGACTAGATTCAGAGCCAACTTAAGTTGAAAAATTTAAAACAAAGCAAGAACAACCACGGAGTTAACAGATGACGCAGGAAACAATTTCATAACCAGGTTGAACCAATCAATCTCACCGGATTTTGGGAGTAAACAACAAGTCAATCTCACCAAATTTTGGGAGTAAACAAAGCCCTAGGGTTCAAACCTTCTTCACTACTTGAACAACCACGCAGGGCTGACAACGGTGGACAGAGTCCGACAAAGTGCGGGAATAAAGCTCATTGATGCCATATTCAACTCATGAAGTGTAATTCTTTCTATCTAACCCAACACCGCATAGGATAGAATGATAGTAACTTCCCCAAAGCGACAACTATTTAAACAGAAAAGCATGAAGATTTTCACACAATCATTTACCTTCAACTCAAATATAGGCCCAAAATCAAAGCAGCAGGCATTGAACTGGGTAAAAAGATATGCCCGGAAGCTGTCGAGGAGACCGACGAACAACGACGGAATGGAGCGGAGGGTCCGTCGGAGGGACAGATGGAGAACGACAAAGTAGCCGAACGACACTCCACCGTGGTTGCCGGCTGGGTAGGAAAGGATTGCAGGAAATCTAAAGTAGATATTTATTCATCGTATATCATTTTCCCAAAGGTTAAAAGCAAAGGGAAACTGGCAGGAAGAGCAAAACTCGAGCGTGACCAAAAACCGAATCAAATCAAATTTAATTTTGATTACTCCTCCGGTCCTTAATATAGGATCCAATTGTTAAGTTGGTTTTACTCCTAAATATAAGACTCATTTATCATATTTATCAATTTTCTCTAAAGTACACCTATGATACTCTCTCAACCATAATCAAGTAGAAGAGGGAGATGAGGTATTAAGAAAGATGATTATGGTATTTTAGGAAAAAACATGTCACATTTTTTATAATTAACTAACTTACCTAACTTCCTTTATCTAATCAAATTAGTTAAATGGGTCTTATATTAAGGACCGGAAGAGTATTTGGATTTAGTTATTTCAGTTTTTGTTATATATTCAATTCGATTTCAGTGTTCGGTTAGGCTGGTAAAACAAAAATTTGGTTATAACTGAAAAACTAAAATGAATATATTATACATTTATATTTAATAAATATTATTTTAATAAATCTATATATGGGTATATGTATGATTATAATAAATATTATTATAATAAATTATATTAATAGTAAAATATTTATTAATTAATAGCTGTAATTGTGTCTCATTATTATTTTTAATTTAAAATTATTTTTCACATTTATATATTTCGGTTAATCAGTTAACCGAGCTTAAATATTTTAGTTAATTTGGTTTTGATTAGTTTGATTAATCAGTTTTGATTCAGTCTTTAAAATTTATTTTATTCGTTTATTTCGGTTATCACCGAAAAACCGAATACTCACCATTAGAAACTGTAATTTTACCTTTAACCCTACTGCTGTAAAGTCTCCCTGTAGAGTATGTGGCGATATATATGTGTCTGTTTTATATTTTTCTAATAAATAGCTGATCCATTATTTATTTTTCCAAATATATTAGGTATACATTAGTTTTATTGGTTAGTAGTAATAATTTAACCCAGATGAAACAAATTTTGTGAAGGTTAAAACCATTATACTATCTCCGGTCTTTAATATAAGATTTCATTTAGTTTTTATTTTGGTTCTAAATATAAGATTTTAATTTACTTTGTCTTTCATATTTATTCATTTTTTAAGATAGTCTTTCCAATAATAGTAGTCCTAATCAATGAACTTGATTAGTAGGGATATTTTAAGAAAGATAATACTTATTTGTTACAAATAACTAACGTAACTAATTTTTTTAATTTACTCAAATTAACTAACTAGTTTTTATATTTAAGATTGGAAGTAGTAACAGTTACCTTCTCAAATTCTGTCATGTCATTGAAACGAAAATGGAGAACTTCTTACGGAGATTTTCTTACTAATAAGAGAGTGCATGAGATTATTTCAAAAAAAAAAAAGAGTGTGCATGAGATTAGCTCCTAGAGTGGATTGGACTTTCAAGATATGGATGGAAGCTTTGTATAATACTATCTCCATTTTTTACTATAAAAATTAATTTGATATTTAATTTGATTTTAGATATAAGACTCTAATTCACTTTATCTCTTATATTTATTTATTTTTTCAAAATATTTTTTGTAATAGTCACACATGTTAAATATTTTATTATATGGTAGTTCTAGTTATACATCATTAGTAAAGATAATATCTATCTATTACAAATAATTAACTTGATTAATTTTTTTAATCTACTCAAAATAGTTAACTGATTCTTATATTAAGAATAGGAGGCAGAAATATATAAGGCACTGCAATAATCAGACATCTCTGATTCGGGACATCGGACACAGGGTTAGGGAAAATTCAAGCATTTTCTTTTGAAGGGAGTGGCAAATTTAACTTCATTTTATGTGTAGAAAAACTAACGAATATGCCCTTTTTTTAGCATAGATATCTCGTAGTTTTGATAGTAATTTTTGCATCTTTGATCTGCCTCTATTTTTTTGCTAGAAGAGTCGATTGACTTCTCATGTTATAAGCTTATTTCTTTATGCTTGTCTCTTTGAGTAGTCAATGTACTGCTATTCAGTTTAGAATAAAAAGGAATGACAATTGTTTGGGACACTTGTTTCTGTAAATAAATTTTGATTGAGTAGGGTGGATTGAATCGGCTTTTAGGAATTGGCATAGAAGGAGCCTAATCACATGGTGCTAGTATTGAGATTGCAATTCCAAATAATTAGTATATGTAGAACTTAATATTAGAGCTAATTGACTAATTTAAATAGATTGAAGAAGTTTGTTAAATTAAATATTTGTAATAAATAGGTTTGTCTTTCTTAGAATATCACTACTAATCATATGTTTTGGTTAGAACTACCATTTAATGAAATCTTTAATATGTGCAATTGCTATAAGATTACTTTAGAAAAAATGAATAAATATAAGAGATAAAGTGAATTAGGTTTTATATTTAAAACCAAATTAAATGTTAAACTAACTTTTATATTAAAGATCAGAACTAATAGATAAGAAGAAGCTAGTTGGAGTAATATAACAAATGTGGTCACTTTATTTCATGTTTGTCTGCTCTATCCAAATTAGTGTCTTTCTCATGTAAGGATATGAAACCACATTAGGCCTTCTTAGAATGATTAAAGTATAAATTTATTCGGAAAGTTTTTACTTATGAGTTGAGCATTTGAAGATTTTTTTGAAATGCAAATTTATTCATGAAAATTTAGAATTGTAACAATATTCATCTCCTATCATTAAAAAATTAGCATTAATCATTAACGCTTTTAGTGGTATGGGATAACATTGTTATGATTTTAAACTTTCAGAACAGACTAGCATTCACAAAAACTTTTGAATGCACAATATTCTTGAGTGAAAACTTTCTAGATAAACTTTCACCTCAACTCTTTTTAAAATTGATTATGCATTCTCAATTACAAATTGAAATTTGCGAAAACTAATATTTGTTATTCACATTGTTGCCCATCGCTTTCATAGCTTATAACTTTCGTATTTTTCAGTCCATTTTATCATGCCATCTCTTTGTTTTTACACCGGAATTCCCCTTAAACAATAATTTCTTGTCTTGAATCACATATATGTTTTAGTTTAATTATTAGAATAATTTCGTTTCTCATAAAAATGAAAGCTAACAATTTTGTGTACATCTTTCATTAGTTTTAGGACCTGTTTGGCAAATTACACAAATCATGGTTTTTGGATCCAAACCACAGTTTGGGGCAAAAATTTGCTAAACAGGAAGAAAAATCAACAAACTATGGTTTCGGGCTCAACACTATAGTTTTAGAGGAAGTGAATCTATTCTGTTTCTAGCTTAAATTGGGGAGTAAGATTGTGCCTGTCAGAATCTATTCTAACGGCATATGATTTTTACACCATTCAACTATTCATTCCTTGTTTTCATTTTTAAAATCTTTCAAGCAAATTAATATTTTTTTTGTTAGCAAAAAAAATCATTTTTATATAAATATATTTAATCTTATATTTTATAAATATATATACATCTCAATTATTTATTAATTATATTATCTTATATATTATTAATTATGTGGGTAAAAAATATATTATCAACAATTTTATTTTTTCAAATTAACATATTATAAAATGTATCTTCTATGTAATCATCATATTAACTTATATAATTTTTAGTAATTTATATATATAAAATAATTCTGATAATAATTATTCAAACACTCTCACTTTATTAAAATTATTTTTTCATAAAATCTATTTTCTAAAAATTATTCTCCAAACACTCTCTTAATCTGTTTAAAAAATTGCGAGCCCAATTTTGGACCCGAAAACACCTGAGCCCAAAACGGGAAAAAATCTACATGGTGAGATGGGTATATTCGTCATTTACTAAACTAGGGTTTCGTACGTTCTATCTGCAGAACGTGGAGAAGCTCTAAAGCCCTCGGCATTACGGCCTTCTAGTTTTGTGCTGCACCTTCAACTTGAGAGTTGTGCATCTCAAACACAAGAGAGCTCCACGGTAGTTCTCCTGCTCGCAACCATGGCTACCACCACAACTGCCGCCGCTGCTCCTCCGCGTCAGCTCTCCCAGAAGGAAGCTGATATCCAGATGATGTTGGCCGCCGAGGTCCACCTCGGTACCAAGAACTGCAACTTCCAAATGGAACGATATGTGTTCAAGCGCCGCAACGACGGTTAGTGTTGAACTCCCAAATATCTCAATACATCAGTTTATGAGATGGAGCATTTTAATTACAGATTTTTTTTTTACTGAAATTTCATTATTGATATTCGAGCGTATATGTTTCAGAGTGCCACATGTGTTGATGAATTCATAAAATTTCCTTGTATCCATGCATCGATAGTTTGCAATCGGGTTCCAAGTGGGTTCTGTTATGTATTTACTCTCGTGACACCTATGTTGCATTTGAATTTTATATATTTAATGTCTCAGTGTCGCCGTCAATATTTGAGCTTCTTTTCACCTTTTGGTAGGATTAAAATATTTTTGCGGTGGGGTGCTCCGAAAATATTTTGCCTAGTCTCTTCACTGCCTGAACAATTTTTTTGTCGTTTTTTTCCTCATTGTACTCTGGGAATTACGTTCTCATTGGTGCAGAAAGAAAGAAAGAAATAGTGAGTAAGAGGGTTCTTAAGCAGGCCATATGCCTCTATAAATTTATTGAAAAACCAAGGTTCTGTACCTCTGGATAATCAAAACATGTTTTCGTTATTCTTAATATTCAGTTAACCATAAGAACTCTTCTATAGGTATTTAAAGATAAATACTATTTTTTTCGGGAAATGTGAATTAATGGATTGGCAAGGACCTGGGGAGTGGGAACAACTTAATGAGGTAGTAGTGTGATAGTTTACTTGAATTTCAATGTTTCATGATTTTGAAGTTCAAATTTATTTCATCTCAAGAATTTCAATTTTAATGTAGTATTATGATATGATGTAATAGTTTGTGGCAGGTTGCATGCTTTTGTCTGTTACTTTGTTGATTTTGGTTATTTTGATAATCAGGGATCTACATCATTAATCTTGGAAAAACATGGGAGAAGCTTCAGCTTGCTGCCAGGGTTATTGTTGCCACTGAGAACCCTCAAGATATCATTGTTCAGTCTGCTAGGCCTTATGGTCAGAGAGCCGTTCTCAAGTTTGCTCAATACACTGGGGCCCATGCACTTGCCGGGAGACACACTCCTGGTACATTCACAAATCAGCTCCAAACCTCTTACAGTGAGCCTCGCCTTCTAATTCTAACTGATCCAAGAACGGACCATCAGGTCATTAATTCTCCATGTGAATTGTTGAGATGTCATATTTTCGTGAATAGGTTAAACTTCTAATCGGAGTTGATCTTCTTATTATGCTCACATTTTTCTTTTGGTACTGGTTTATGTGCAGCCCATCAAGGAAGCTGCCCTTGGAAATATTCCAACCATTGCCTTTTGTGACACTGATTCCCCTATGCGATATGTTGACATTGGGATTCCTGCCAATAACAAGGGGAAACATAGCATTGGTTGTCTCTTTTGGCTTTTAGCAAGGATGGTGCTGCAGATGCGTGGTACTATTCGTCCAGGGCTTAAGTGGGATGTGATGGTAGAGTATTTGCTGCTTTTATTAGGACCTATTTAGAAGGGATGCAGCTCTGTTTGCAAGTTTCTTTCAAATTCTTGGTGGTCTCAAATTTTCTATTATGCAGGTGGATTTATTCTTCTATAGGGAACCTGAGGAAGCCAAGCAACTAGAGGAAGAGGAGGCGCTTGCTGTCCAAAATTATGCCGCTGCAGATTTTGGTGCCGGTATTGGTGCCATTGCTGATGGCCAGTGGCCTGTTGCAGCTGATCAATCATGGACTGAACCAGTAGCACAACCTATTCCAGCAGTTCCTGGTGTCAGCTGGACCTCAGAAGCTGCAGGTAAATCTTTATAGTTGATTAAAGTTGGCTCCTTACTCATGTTATGTTAAATTTAATGTGTGCTTACTATGATTATTTTAGATTAAATCTATCTTTACCCCCTTCCATGATAGTTGGCCCTGCAAATGTGGTAGTTTATTGATATATGGCCATAACAGTCACAGTGGACTCTCATTGTCTTCACTTTCGTTTAATACTATGCATCTGATAGAGAATTTCTGTTTTAAATTAAATTACGGTGCACATGTGCGTGTTCTATTGTTTAAGGGTCATGAATTCGCATTTGCTGAACCAATTTCTTATTGCAGTAGGGAATTGGGGTGAAGCCGTCCCACCTCCACAAGCACCTGTTTCCGGAGTCGAGAATATTCCTGCTAGCGGCTGGGATTAACTTCATACATAAGTTTTGATTGTCCTTTTTTTGTTTTTGTTTTTTGGGTAGGGAAGGTAACGTTTTGTGGTGCGTCACTTGTCTTAGTCTTAGTGATACACGTGACATTCTCTATTTACAAAATTTATTTTTCTAGGCTGATATAAATGTTGGATGATGGCTTTAGTTCACATAAAACGACGTGCTGAGTATTTTTGTTTATTATTTTCTCGGAAATAAGATTAGAGTAGAAGTTGGTTTTGCATTTCCTGATCACGCGTAACTAAATATTTCAAGTTGTGTTTTGTCCTTCCCAATTCTGCACCATATCACTTAGGAGTTAGATTTGTTATTGATAGGCACCTCTTAAAAAGTTTTGATCAAATCGCGGTCGTATTTTTATTTTTAAAATATTTACAAGTTTCACAAAACAAAAATCACGATTTAACTCAGATGTAAATTTTAAAGCAGCAAAAGGAGAGGGCCATTAAGATCCCATCACCCTTTTGTGACGTTCTTTAGCAAGCCATTCACCTGCTAATTTCGGATTCCTGGGGGTCCAATGAATAATCTAACAGCTATTGTCCACAAATAAACCTTGATTCTCAGCAGTAGTTCTATTTAGGACATTGATGTCCAAAATTAAGCATAAGGCGCCTACAGGTGGCGTTGACTACGCGTCCACGAAGAGAAACAGGATTCCAATTTTATCTCTGAAAATGATGCCAATGACAGAGAATGTCCCTCAAATGGAAAGCACTTTAAGATATCTTCTGGGGGTCTCCAATTGGCACTTCTGGCTACATCGTGCTTCGATTATGGTCACAACTCACAACCATCATTCTCCAGCCATTCGTCAATGGGCCCAAATTCAGTTCGCACATCCATAGCATATTTCAGAAGATATCAAGCAGGGCCTCATTTGAGTTTTAGGAAAAGGATTTTGATGTCAATAAGACCAAAAAAAGCAATCCAGGATAAAAGAAACAACATCATAAAAGGAGAGACCGTTTTGCATCTTGTTGGTACTCCGTAGATTACGGCATTCAATGCACATGAGAGTATAGCTACAAATATTTGTCCAAAAAAAAAGAGAGTATAGCTACATATAAACCATGAAGATGGCAAAAGAACAAGACAATAAAATATTCCTCAGTAAAGGACTTGGTTTCTTCATGAAGCACGTTCAAAAGGAGTAAAAAATGTTGACTAGTATGTCATGATTAAGCTGGCTTAAACTGCTGTCTAAAGAAATATAGAACCATTGGACTCTCCAATGCAAGACTCGCATTCTTTTTCAATATCACCTTCCATAGAATGAGAAAGCTTCAGTCTAGAGCTTCTTCAACGCTGCTTTTAAGTGTGGTTGAAGACCTACTGTATTGGTAGCCATCTGAACTTCATAACAAAGATTGCCATCAACCAGCTGGAACAGTCGTCTTATCTCCATAACCTGTGCGGGATGAGAAAAGATTTGGTATAATTTGCATCATATGAAGGGGGAGAGGAGGGGATATATTTCTGCCCTAAAGTTCCCACTACTATAACTAGCTAAGGCTGATGGCAATCTAATAGTCAATCTAATCTAAGAGAGCATGTGTGTGTGTGTGTGTGTGTGGGTAAAGCCATATGTTAACGTCAGCATGGTTGGATAGTATCTTCCTGCTCAAATAGTAAAGTTCAACACAGAATTATGACACGCTCAAGAAAAACAGAATTATTATATGCTTTTCTGACATATTTGTTGTACCAAACTTCGGTAACTGGTTTATATTTACAGTGAAATCTAAGTTGTAACCGTCACCTTTTTTATCACAAGGGGAAAAACTTGCAAAATATAAGAGATGCAAACTATGCATGAATGAACAGGAATCACTTGCATTGTTGTATTTTTGAGAGTCCAATTTTATTACCTTAGAAGCATTCCCCACTGTCTCACTTTGAAGCTCTATCACCTTGTCCTTTGCATTATATGTCCCTTTCTGGATGACACATGCGAGGGACATATCAGAAGCAAAAAAAAAATACAACAGAACTAAAAAAAAAAAAGATAATAGAAAAATCTTATTTCTAGGATAATTAAGCAATAGTTAAGGCTTTTATGTGGATATAACGGTAGAAAACCAGCCAGCAGGTAGAAAGCAATGTATCAAAATAATTATTGCAAAGCACCTTCGGCAACCAGGAGCATGCTGGTAGTGCGTAATGGAACTTCCGAAGTGTAGATATATGGGAAAATCATACCTAGGTTATTTGACAAGGTAGGAATTAATTCAAACATTAGGCTGCGTCTGATACATGGAAAAAGGATCTAACCAAAGAAAAAACAATTTAAAGCAGAGCCAAAAATGGAATCAAGTGGCTTTCTTGAAAAGAAAGCTTCCCATATTTATGAAATGGAGCTTCTTAGTTTTCATTCTCTCTGTTTTGTTTCTGGTACCAAAAGCCCTTCTATACCGCGAATATTTGTCAAATATTTAACTTGAGCAATCTCCCAGCGTATCGTGAGGCGAGTGTGCCAATTTAATATTTGCATGAGTATTCTTGTGCTGGTTCAGCCAGTATAGACCCACTAATTAATATTAGTCAAACATGATTCAAAACATTCAAGTTCAAACTTGTTAATGTAATTAATTAATCATTTTAATTTCTGTTTCACTCATCTGTGAATGCTCTGCTCACAGATGACGTGGCAGCCTAGGCCTACACAAAAATTCATCATCGCGCACCAGTTAAATACTAAAACTAAAAGTAGAGACAAGTATGAAATAAAGCAGGCAATTTGTCGAACAGTTTATCGGCAACAGACGAATGTAAAAAGGTAAAAATCTCTGTATGGATGTTAAAGCACTCTCATCAATAACAAGACACAGTACCTGAACTTCAACAAGGCCAGTGCTTTGCGCAATCACAACTTCAATAGCACCATCAGGCTTTGGACGCCAGTATCCACTCTCGGCGTGCATTGGCTCGCCAGAGTTGAGTTTCCAAGTCTTCTGGGTATACCCAATGACGGGCTTGTCTCATCTCGTACACAACAAAGAAAAACCCAAGTCAATTCTTCAATTAAAAACAAAATTGTAATCTTCGTCCCCGAGTTTTCACAGATTCAAAACCAAACCCATGAAAAATCCAAGGAAAAAAAAAATCATATAACCGGTTATTTTTTGTATAGGATACCTTATTCCCAGAATGGGAAAACTGAAGTTCTTCGCCATAAGAGAATGAATTTATGGTAGGGAAGCCGCCTTCTCCCTGGCCTCTCCATGAGCCCAGAAGGTAGGAAAGTGGTTCCACTGCTGGGTGCAACACTGGCGGTTCCGGTGGCGGACCTGGTGAGCCCTTGGCTGCTTCCATTTGCTCTGAGAATATTTTTCTGACTGTTGCTCTGTCTTCCTGAGTTTACAAAGCAGGGAAATGAAGATGTCTGCTTTTGCTTTAGGAAGTGCTTGAAAAATGCTGCGCCCCTCTTTACTTTTATTTTAATTTTAAATATAAGATTTTAATTAATTTTATTTTTTATACTTATCTATTTTTTAAGGTAGTTCTTATATTAATAATAATTCTAGTCAATATAATTAATTAACAAGAATATTTTAAGAAAGACAATACTCACTAATTATAGAATCAATTAAAAAAATATTTTTATATAAATTGACACAAAATTTATCTTAAAAATTCAAACACCCCTAAAAGAGTTGCTATGGCGTTCACAACAATTATGTGGACAATGGTGAGATAATAGGGATTAGTGTCCTGAAAATGGATGGGTTGCTATTTACATATAATTTTAATATTTTTTTAATAGCTACTATCTTCAGTCCTAATTATAAGACCTCATTTGTAAATTATAAATGATGTCTTATAATTAGGATCAAAGCTAATAAGATATAATTTTACATATGCTCTTTTGTAATTATTACATGGTCGTAGTAGTTTGTTAACATATTTTTTAACTAGGAAGACATACGCTAGTGCTAAAAAAAAAAACTAGGAAGACATACGCTAATAATTTTTTTTTGGGGTAAAAAAGATACTAATAGTTTGAAGTTATACACAAGATCAAATATATAACCTCTCCTTTACAAAAGCATTCATGTCATATATTACACAATCATTAGCTTGTTAATATGCTATTTGAGATTACAATATGCTAAATTGGATCCATACAAGAAATCCAGCCCGCAAAAGCGTTACTTCCCTGAAGTTACAATACTTTTGGATTTACTAATTAAAAGTACAAGAAATTAGGGGTGTTCAAGAAGGATCCGTCACGGTCGGCCCGTTCCGGTCCCGGTCTTATTGGGACAGGACGAGACACGGGATGGGGTCGTCCCGTCCCGGTCCTTTTTTTATTTTATTTTTTATTTTTTATCCCATTTATATAATATTATTTTTTTCATATTTTTTTAAGATTTGAGACTATTGTATGGAATTATGGATATATTTATTTAGAGTTTTTATATTTGTTAATGATTTGAGATTATTGATGATTAGAATTTTTAGCAAGTTTTTATTGTGTTAAAAGCTTTTATTTGGAGTTTTTAATGATTATTATATGTAATATTTTGAGTTTTTGTTTAAGAGTGCCCAAACAAATAAAAAAAATAAAAAGATGTTTTTATAAGTTTTAAGCCAAAAAAACATAATTAAAAAAATCAGATTTTATTTAAAAAATTTAAAAAAATTTTTAAAAAAATTTAAAAAAAAAAGAGGTTCGGGACGTCCTGGTCCCGTTCCGACCGGAACCAGGACAACCCCGGGACGGGCCGGGACACGGGACAGATTTTCTATCCCGTTACTGTTTATCGGGACGGAACTGGGACGAACCTGTCTCGGTTCCGATCCGTCCCATGAACAGCCCTACAAGAAATCACATAAAGCTGGATTTGAACGTAGACTTTAGATAGATAACTACCAATCTTACGTAAGTTTTATGTTTCACTTTTGTTTATGTTTATTGCAATCGCAAGTGTATTAGGAAACTGTCTCCAATTCGTAGGTGATGAACATTCCAAACTTCAATTACACAACATGCAATTAAACGAATAACTCCCGCCACAATACCTAAGTTGATATTTGCTTGAACCAAAGTGATCAAATTCAAAATTTGTGGTTATTGATTCTTGTACACTCTTCCGATTCTTAATATAGGACTTAATTGTTGAATTAGTTTTGATCCTAGATATAATACCCAATTCTCATAGTTATCAATTTTCTCTAAATTACCCATATGGATACTCCTTCAATCATAATCAAGTAGAAGAGGGAGATAATGTATTAAAAAAAATGATTATGGTGTTTTAGGAAAAATGTGTCATTTTTCTTATAATTAACTAGCTTAACTAATTTTTTTAATCTAATCAAATTAATTAAATGGGTTTTATATTGAGGATAAAAAAAGTACCATCTCTAGAATTCATTTAAATTCTAAAGTATTCCGATTACTATTTTCAAAGAGACAACTTGTATTTCTCTAAGTTAATTATAAACTACTTCTAGGGACTTGTAAATTTCATTAACACATTTAAACTAATTTAGGCCATATTTGTTATTACGGTTGAAATTACTTATAAATATATTTTACATAAGCCGATACAAAACTCTTTTCATGCATTTAGTTCATATTCTGTAAATTACGATAAAAAAATTACTCACAAACTATGCGAACCAATTATTTTATTTTTATTTTTATTTTTTTTATGGACCTGACAAGAAGGCGTTCGCCTCGACTGTGGACTAGTCTCCTCCGTTTTGCTTCCCAGAGTCACTGGCTCAATTCCGAAGGGGCCTCCGCTGTCCCGGAACCATAATACCACCCCATAGGCCACGAGCCGACGACTACGACAAGAACAGCACACCGAACTCAGGTTAGTCGTTCATTCTCTTATCCTTCACCATCAACCTGGGAATCGAATTACTTTGCTTCTTACTTCACATTTCATCTCCATTTTCGCGTATTAGTTTGAAATTCCCTCTCGAATATATTGGAAAATTTGAATTGAGAAAACGCTTGTTCGATGATAAACCTGCAGAATTCACATATTATGAATCAATGTCCAGCTCGGTTAGGTTTCCTGATTGCGGGTCTCTATGGGCTTGCTTCTAATAATTACAAAAAATGTTTGCTTTTTCTTTGTTTGGATGTGGGAATTTATTGGCTCCGAATTTGTAGGGAAATGTTCTCACTTTGCTCTTTATGCGTAAATCTATATAGTAATTTTCCCCTGGTACGTGGATAAGGGCGAGGATGAACAAAGGTGGACCGGCGGGTGGAGGAGTATTGGGGGGTGGGATTGGAGGTGGTGCAGGAAGGGGGCCGACTGCTGCAGCGGCTGCAGCTGCTGCTCAGAAGCAAAAGACTTTGGTGCAAAGGGTAGAAGGTGACATCGCCAATATTGTGGATAATTTCAGCCACCTTGTTAATGTTGCTAGGGTATGTTTGATTACATTCTGCATTTTCACAGCTTTTGTCTCTTATTAAGTCACCCTTGCATTTTGGAAAATTTATGATTGTGAATATTTTTCTTTCTCAAGGTTCTCCATAGATAGGGCTTTGAATTCATTTGATACAATTGTTGATATTGACACACCTGGTCCTCTTGGTTTACTAATGTTGACCTCATAAAAGGAGTTTTTGTAACTATTGGGAATTGTGAATGTATTCGTGTGTGATTGAATGATTGGTCATTTCCCAATGACGTGAGCTGCAGTCTTGGAATCTTAGTTTTTTCCCTCCCAATCACTTCCTAGTATCCTGTGCGCTAAATTTCATCTGTGTGGTCAATTCATGCAATATTTCATTCCTGCAGGTAAATGATCCACCAGTTAGAAATTCACAGGAAGCTTTTATGATGGAAATGCGTGCTGCCAGAATGGTAGGATTGAAATTCTGACTATTTTATTCTTCTGTGCAACCATGGAGTGCCTTTCCTTTCCAAGCAATATGCATCATTGTTTTAACGATTGTTGGGGGCAAAAACCATCTATCATTTTCTTACTTTTGTATTAGAAGTGCCAAGGAGTGTATGCACCCTGAAACTGTAAGCATATATCTCACATATTATAATCAAGTGCCATTATGTTCCATGTTGTAAATTCATAATCGAACTATGGATAGCAATCCAATACGTGTGTGTATGTCTTATTTATATTCAGTACTTTCTGAAACGGAAGTCTTAGTGGTAACATCTTGATCATATGGTTTAAGTTTGTTTGGCAGTTTGACAGTATTAGTGCTAGCTTTTCTAACTTAAGGTCTGATTCTTCCCTCACCGTGTTTCTCTTCTTGCATTGGTCAACGACCCAGGTCCAAGCAGCTGATTCCCTTCTTAAATTGGTGTCAGAGCTGAAGCAGACAGCAATTTTTTCAGGATTTGCTTCTCTAAATGACCATGTTGAGCAAAGAGTGGTTGAATTTAACCAATTAGCGGAAAAGACAGACAGAATGTTATCTAGAATTGGAGAAGAAGCTGCCGCTAGCCTTAAAGAGCTTGAGTCTCATTATTCTTCTTCTACGCAGAAGAATATTGATGCCACGGAACCATGACTGTTATTCTGTTCATCCACCTAGCACTCCTATCTTAGTGAAGAATACTTTCAAGCGCATAAATAGATGAGTTTTCCAGCTTTCAGAGTTCATACAAGTTTCCTTCGTTTGAATTACTGGAATTTAGGACTAGGTTGAAGAAATTGGTATCTCATTTCTGATGTGTACAATGTATGGTAGATCGTGTCACATGGAATGAGGAACAAAATTTAGTCTTGTACACCATGTTTAATCAAGAAACATAATAGTTTGTACCCCAATTCTTTAAGTTATTTTGCTGTATCAAATTTCAATTTCCAAGCAATTAATAATTAGTCTCATACCAATTAGGTTGTTTCTCATTTTCAGACATGATCGATGCTGAGCCCAATTCGAATAGAAGTTTAGGTAATGAAGAAAAATGAAATCAAGATGCTGGCTGATGTCCGCTCGCCTAGTAATGTAAAACCAAAAAAAAAAAAAAATTCAAAGTAATTTAGATCATTAGCAATAACAGATAGATTGTCTATAATACTGCTGGAAAGACAACGACGAGAGACGATGGCTGTAAAGAAAAGTATATTCGTACATATTCTAATATAATCTCACACTCACTGTGACTTTTTCTTGAAATATATAATTGTATGAATGTTGAAAAGGCAAATAATGAAAATGACGATACTGAAATATCAATAAAGAAAGGAAATATTGATATAAATTCTTACTATTTTTTTTTTAAAAAGGTTTTGCTCATCTAAGTTTAAAAGGATCAGCCTAACTTATCCAAAAAGATAAAAGGGATGATATTTTTTTTTAATTTCTTTTTCTGCTTGTAGCCTTGACCTTCTTCTTTTGTGATTAATAGATATACAGTTTCTATTAAAAAAAAATCCACTAACACTACGCACTTATTAATCTATAGGCACGGATGATCTAAATGCGAATAAGTTCCTTATGGGGTCTCTGAAGATTTTTCCTTTCAAAATATTTTTGGCATTTTGCTTTGATGCCTCTGCCAGTGTGCCTATGATGATTATCATATATTTTGTTTCCAGTGAAAATTCTCTCCAACCTACTCGGCAAAACATATCCAGAAAAGATCGTAACTTATAATATCAATCTCATACATTTCATACAATAGCCACCAAGCGGGATATAGATATAGAGTATGGACATTGCAAAGCCAAGATAGGAGAAGAAGTCGAAGATGGAAAAAGATGGAAACGTGGGGGAGTGAAAGATTTGGCTACGTGGAAGTTAGAGCATTTTTTGTGGTTAAAATAGGAATTAAGCCATTATTTCAGAGAATAAGACGCTTATCCATTCGTCTTCTCAGAAATGACCATTTTTTCTCTCTATCTCTCCTTATTTTTGTTTCTGGTTAAAGACTATCTGTTGATCTCAAAACAAAAGTTGATGATCCAACAATTTTTTTGTTTGATATTTCTGTAATAAGTTATGGTTTTTTCTAGTTGTGGTTCTGCTTCCATATTCTTCCCTTTCGCTTCAAAAAATTCCTCAAAAGAACTCTCAATCGTGTTTCTTATGATGCAATCAAGAAACCTGCTCATTTTCCATACCCTCATATGTCATTTCCTCCCTAACCATTAATCAATAGCCTTCTTCACATTTTAACCTTTATCTTTGGCTTCAATTAACGCTTCTCTCTGACTTATTTTTCTTTCTCCAATTCAAAAAGGCTCTTGGTAATTCAAAGCCTGAGCAGTGATCAGGTTGCTGTCATTTTGAGTTCAGGTCTGTCCTAATTTCTCTAAATTCTGTTTCTCACCCGGTGATTCTATCTTGTCCTTCTTACATCAATATCTTTTTTTCCTTTTTTTTTTTTTTAAATTTGTGTATCTTAAGACTTTGAGTTGAAAGTTTCCTTTCCTAAAAATCTTAATGATCTGATTTGCATTCTATCAGTGTAATGCATTTGGAGTTTTTCTTTCAATTAACAACTTTTGGTTGACTTCCAAATATCCATTTCCTATATGTCATTAATAATTCACATGTCTTTGTGTTGATATACATTGACCATAGCACTCCTATTTGCCTGCGTCAGATTTTATTACATGCTCGCCATGAATTGAATTTTCAGTTCTTGCCGTCCTTGACATTTTGATTTGTGCTGTGCATGATCAACAATAAGGACTTTCTTTTTGCCTTTTAATGTGTTTTTTCTTTTTTATTCTTTCGTACATCTTCTATCCTGACAAGAAATTCATGTGCATTAGTCCATGGATACAATACACGCATTCACAATAATTATAGTTGCTTTGCTCATTTGAATCTTCTGAAATGCCATACAAGGGCCCCACCTCAATAAGACCACATTTGTAGAGGTGGGACCCACCCTCTTCCTTTCTTTTAATATTTGAACAGGAGTGAATTATTTCAAGATGTGCAGAGGACTTAGATATCTTATTTATTATGCCTAGTTAAGAATTTTCAATATTTTTACGTACATTTTTCTTTTTCTGCAGAGAATTTCTTGAGGGCTGGTTTATTTGAGGTAAGGGCAGCTACCATGTCTCTTTATTTCAACACAAACATCACCTACTCAAGAACAAAAATATTTCATTAATTAATGGATGCTTGCTTCATTTTGACCAAGGAACTGTTTAATGCATAACTTTCACAGCCATTTTTTGGAGAGAGATTGAAAGAATATATAGTTGGGGGGGGGGGAGAGAGTGAGTGAATTCTAACATACTTCACTCTTGTGTGTTACACTTTTTTGTGAATTTATGGTATCTGCTATTACATAGAAATTAGGTTGGCAAAAAAAAAATTACATTGAAATTAGAATCACAATCTATATATGGCTTCACTTTGGTACCTAAGACATTTTTGCCTGAGAAGATTATTTTAATAGATATTGAAAGAGACTGAACAGTTATTTTAAACTATTAAGCTGTGGCTTTTCATATGGGGTTCTGTTTTGAGATTTTCCCATGTTTTCCACAACTAGTTGTAAACTTTCTTTCTGATACAATTTCTTCCTTGTACTAAGATGAAAGACGATTTGCCAGTGGGTTATCAGATTGATACAGCATGTGGCTCCCCAAGGCATCTCAAAAAGCCAAACCAGGCCGCAAAAAAGACATCTGAATTCCAGAAATTAGAACTACCCACCAAGAAGATGATGTCTGCAAATCCTGATCCTCAAGCTACCCCATCTACAGTAACCACAGGAATCACCAGGGGCTTTCCTTCGCCCTCAAGAACCAATAACCATGGCCATGGCAGTGGAAACAGCTCTCGTAGTGACAGTTTAGAAAGCACAAGTGCGCCCATTAAGCCACATACTGGTGGTGATGTAAGGTGGGATGCCATTAACATGGTTTCTAGAGGAGCCCATCTTGATCTCAGCCATTTTCGGCTTCTCAAGCGAATTGGCTATGGGGATATTGGGAGTGTGTACCTTGTAGAACTCAGAAAAACTAAGACTTACTTTGCCATGAAAGTGATGAACAAGGCAGCTCTTATAAGTAGGAACAAACTACTAAGAGCACAGACAGAGAGGGAGATTCTTCAACTTCTTGACCACCCTTTCTTACCCACTCTGTATTCTTACTTTGAAACTGATAAGTTCTATTGTTTGGTCATGGAGTTCTGCAGTGGAGGTAACCTTCACTCTCTTCGACAGAAGCAGCCAAACCAGCATTTCACAGAAGAAGCAGCACGGTTAGTGAGTAATCTAATTTCATGGTTTCTTAATCAACATATATTTAACTAAGATTTTCAAGTTAATTCGATCTGCGAAAAAATTACCAGATCAGATCAATCATTAAAAGACACGTAACTATATAAACCTTAGCAGTCAAAAACTTCTCACATGTTTGAATCTCCTTTTATACCTTGTTCGCTTTTTTCTTGAAAAGGGCGCCTCTATTACGATAATATAGGTTGATAACCAGTCCACAATTGAATCTGATATACCGTAAAAGAAAATGGGGAAAAAAACAATAGAAGAGATTATTTCCTTAGTTACTCTGATTGTGAAATAACGTGTCTGTTGCCAAGAAGAAGTAGTAGTAGTAGTTCCATGGTATCTTAGATTGTTGGTGAAATCTGTTGATTTGAATTTGATTTCTTTCTTATATTCATCCTCTTATCCAGGGTTCCACAGCATTTTTCTTTCAACTTCCGAAGGGGACTTGTGTCCAAGATTTCCTCAACTTTTCCATTTTTCTGCCTCCTTCTTTGTACACGTTTACCACAGTAAATCAACCATTTTTTTTTAAAAAATATATATATTTGTACTCTTTTGTCCTCTCCCTTTATTTTCCTATTTTGTGTTGTAAAAATATGAGAATAAGAATACATCACAAGTAACTTTCATACGTTGGGCACAACTAGTTAATCTCACGTCTTCATGACTGTAACAAAGTTGACCATCTCTGTTAATCTTCACAAAAGCAAAATTTCTATTTAATTTAAATGATTTATGGCAGCAATTTGATTCTGCTTTCTGATATTAGACTGTAAAAGCAATCTAAGAACTCTGTGTTTGCATTCTCATGTTAGGTTTTATGCTTCAGAGATATTGTTAGCTCTTGAGTACCTGCATATGCTTGGCATAGTGTACAGAGACTTGAAGCCAGAGAATGTTTTAGTCAGAGATGAAGGCCATATAATGCTCTCAGATTTTGACCTATCCCTTCGCTGCTCAGTCAATCCTACACTCATCAAGTCTTCATCTGCACATGTAAGTGGTAGCAATGGCAGTAGTGGTGGGTCTGGGGCCATTTTGGATGACCAGCAAGCAGTGCAGAGTAGTGTGCAATCATCAACTTTCTTCCCGCGCATTTTACCATCAAAGAAAAACCGAAAATCAAAGTCAGATTTCGGCCTCATAAATGGAGGAGCCCTCCCTGAATTCATGGCAGAGCCTTCAGATGTGAGGTCAATGTCCTTTGTAGGGACACATGAATACCTTGCACCTGAAATCATCCGAGGAGAAGGTCATGGCAGTGCAGTAGATTGGTGGACTTTTGGGATCTTCTTGTATGAGCTTTTACATGGGACAACGCCCTTCAAAGGCGCTGGAAATAGAGCTACACTTTTCAATGTTGTAGGACAGCCCTTAAGGTTCCCAGACACTCCCCAGGTAAGTGCTGCAGCAAAAGACCTTATCAAAGGATTGCTAGTGAAGGAACCTCCAAAGCGCATTGCATATATAAGGGGTGCCACAGAAATAAAACAGCACCCATTTTTTGAGGGAGTGAACTGGGCTCTAGTTAGAAGTGCCCTGCCTCCTCATATACCAGATCCTGTAGATTTTACCAAGTATGCTAGCAACGAATCAGCAGAAGCAGCAGACAAGGTGATGGATATAGCAAAAGATAAAAACGGCCCACATGCTCCAGCTGATTCTTCTTACATGGATTTTGAGTATTTTTAACAGAAAAGTAGTCCTATTTTTACAAAGAACGGTACTGTACAAAAGTGTCATCTCCTTTTCTCCCCATAAGAAAGAGTGAAGGAGGAGAACCTGAGTAAACAATGACTGCATGCATATAGATTTGTAAATTTCATCCAAATTATTGTTTATCCTTTTAAGTTTCCTTTAGTTTTAGGTCTTCAGCATGTGTTTTGAACATGAAGGATTGAATTTTTGGATGAGTATTATCCCTACGGAGACTGTAACATATGACATGAGTTCCTGTGATCGAGACCAAAGTAATATGGAAAGCTTGATCTTACATTGGGTATTATGAAGTGTTATTTGGTGTATTTTAATGGATTCATTCTCCTATCTCAACATTTAACTTTTAAGGTTGAGTTCTCCCACCCGCATGAGTGTCCACCATCTTAAAGCTATCGATACTTTCAAATGAGCTAAATCAGGATGCAAAAGATGAACCCTAATATTTCCTTTATTTTTTTTGCCACAGTCCAAAATTGAGTACATATTTAATGTTTAAATAGGTGCTCAGGAACCGGACTGCCTTTGTGCTAAAATATCCCATGGAGAAAGAATTTCAGACGAATACATCTTCCACAAACAAATTTTCTATTTCTCCTACTTTTACCATATTCTACACTGACATGGAGAAAGAGATAAATACACAATTTAAAAGCAGTTTTACAAATATAACTTGTATGCATTAATTTTCCTTTTAAGAAATGTGATGTCAAGGTTAGATATCATAAAACAGGGAACTTTGCATTATATATGACCAGAAAGTTTATTACACAAGACTCCATCACTGAGTCAATTTAATTCTCAGATAGATTAAATAGTCTGTCATTGATCATCACATTCCCCAGTTACCATGATATGGGAGATGAACCAATAGGTAAAATACCAGGTAAAACTAAAGAAAAGGCTTTTCCCACATATAAACCTCTCCTGATCTGAGACCGGAATTGTTGGAAATCTCAGCCAACATCTAGCCTGAACTTTACAGTTTTGCTTTTGTATATAGTCTGGTTCTCAGCTCTCCAGCTACGGCATCAATGAACTCTTCAGTATTCAAATACTGGGACCTAGAAACCCTACAAAAAAGAGAAGTATATGTAATCTGTAACTGTGATTAAGCAGAAGCTAATATTTACCACCCCCCCCCCCCCCCAAAAAAAAAAAAAACAAAACCACTGGCTCCAGTTACTTTGGCCCATGAACAAGAAGCGCAAGATCCTTTGTCATCTTTCCCAATTCAACGGTTCCAATGCAAGCTGCTTCAAGTTTCTCGGTGAAGTCCAACAATCTGGCATTTCCATCCAACTTTGCCCTGAGAAAATCAATTTTCTTTAGATTTTTCATCCCATCTCGGGAAGGAGTCAACATTTTTTTTGTTTTTGGGAGGGAACGGGGAAGCAGCTAGGACAAAAAGAATTGATTAGCTTTTAATAGTTACCTGTGTGCAAGGCCTCGTGACCAAGCAAAAATGGATGCTATACTATTTGTACTAGTTTCACCTCCCTTCTGATGAACCCTGTAATGACGGGTAACAGTGCCATGGGCTGCTTCTGCTTCAATAGTTTTTCCATCTGGGCAAACCTATAACCAAATGTAGCATCTCAAGCTTCTATTTTAGAGGCATAACAGAAGGAAGAAAGAAAAGAAGAAACAAAGAAAGGATAAATCTGAAAGGAAGGAATACTGCAAAGGGTATGGAAAGAGATACCAGTACTGATGTCATCAAGCCCAAAGAACCAAATCCTGTTCAAGGAAACAATTGCTCGGATCAAATTATTAATCAGATTACTTGATCAGGAATTTCTGAAAGCCTTTTCCCTCCCGTGAATTAATTAAAACCCACAAAACTTTCAAGGACCCATAACTAAGCAAAGTTCTCAACTGCATGTAGGTATACACCTTGGGCTAAGAAATCACTCTGGACATCCCCATCATAATTCTTGCAGGCCCATACATAACCTCCATCGCTTTTAAGAGCATATGCCACCATATCATCAATGAGACGATGTTCATACCTAAAAGCCAAAAATATGTATTAAAATATAACTTATCAAGAAGTTTTTGATAAGCAGGACAAGAAAATTATCTGACCATATCCCTGCAGCTTTGAACTTGGAACTCCATTGACTGTCATAGACTTCCTGGAAAATGTCCTTGAATCTTCACAGAAGCAAAGAGAGAAGAAAAGTTAATGGAAGGAATGTGTGACTCCACTTTATCCACACCTCTCCCTCTTAGATTTAGGCCTCCACTAAAGTTATAACACTTATAACCCAAAGATAAAACAAAGAAGTATGATTGGGAGGGAAGTGCTTAAAATAATTTAAACATCTAAAATTACAATCGTATCTCATTTATTCTTCATGAGAAATAAAATACAAAGAAGGAAGATGGACCACAAACATACCAGCATACCTTCCATCATATTTCTTGAGGATCGTATTTTTAGTGCTAAGATAAAGTGGCCACTTCTTCTGGTAAGCAATATTCATTGAAGCCTCAGCAAAAGCTCGAATGGACTGTTTCCAGACCAGATACATTATAGTTATAAATGAAGTCCCATGTTATTTCAAAGACGAAAATAAAAAGAAGCACCACCCCTATGGCCATATGCAAACCTCATCAGTGTTATACATGGACAAAGCTATGCCTCCAGCACCAGTAAATTCATAGACCTCTAACTCATTTGTTTCATGATGTCCATTGGGTACTGTGAAAGTACAGATGAACTTCATAAGATGCTTGTCAAGTGGGGATTAAGAAAGTTGACAATTGTATCAAAATTGAACTGTCAACTAGAATCAGAATTTACCAAACACCAACTTTAGCTTTCCCTTCCCTTTTATTACTGTATCAGTTGCTCGGTACTGATCCCCAAATGCATGCCTTCCAATGCAGATGGGCTTTGTCCAACCTAAAAGACATATGGATTGTAATCCCCAGATACCATCGTAAAGTACAATTCGCATAGGAAGTTTTAGTCATTTACGGACCTGAAACAAGACGAGGGATGTTTCTGCAGATAATTGGCTCTCTGAAAACTGTGCCTGTAGGGTCAAATGTTCCCCAGGGACTCAGCTAATAATTCAGTATATATAGCAAGATTACAAGAAGCATTAGAAAGATTAGTTACCATTTAAAATGTTCCGAATTGTACCATTAGGACTCTTCCACATTTGCTTTAAGTTAAATTCCTTGACACGAGCTTCATCTACGAAAAGCAAATCCCTTGCATGAGAAATTCATTTATGCAAGAAGTTATAATTTCACAGATATGGTAATAGAAACACTTGCACCATTCCATATAAAGTTAATTACAGATACCTGGGGTTATTGTAGCACATTTGATTGCCACATTATACCTGCAAAAAAGAAAAAAAGAATTGCAAGGTAAAATTAGGAAGCTTCAACAGGCAGGGTGGCTTAATTTGGAAAAACAAAAAAACAGAAATTAACATAGCTCCACATCTTCCCAAATAATTTGAAAGACATAAAATTCAAAACTCAAATAAATTCAACTTAACTAGGTTGATATCTGAACCAAATACATCCGCCAACCATACACTACATAGAGTCATAGATACAATTTAGTGCATGCTTCCTTTCTATGTAATCTCACATGTTTCTTCTTCAAACAATTCAATCTTCTAAAATGTAGTGCCTACTGTCAAGCATAACTATAATATCTTATTTGACTTTAAAATAATCTCAACCAATAACAGATTCAGATCTAAGCAAAGCATCCCCATTTGTTTACTTTCTATATCTTCTCACTGTATAGTTTAATGACCTCCGTACCTCCAGAATAATTTCTGTGAAGACAATATTTCTTATAAACTTGCCTTCTGACAGGAAACTATTATGACAAGGTATAAGCAGCCGACATATCACAACAGTAGGAGGATAAGGAAATCAGCAAATATCAGAGACCAAGTAGAAAGAGTAGCATTGATCACAACAGTCAAATGACGTACACTCAAGAGTGAAAATAAGCAAAGAAATGCCCAAGAATGAGAGTACATACTTGAGAGTAGCTTCAGCACTTTCAACAGTAACTCTATCATTAGTAGCATCACGATGAGGAAGGCCCAGGTCAAAATACTTAATTTCCAACTCCAGATAAGGGAAAATAAGCTGCAAAAAGAACAAGGGAGAGAGGAAAAATGCATCTACTATTCAAGAGAAAAGAAAGGAGCCTGACTATTTCATGAAGACAATGGAAAATATAACTACCTTGTCTTTTATCATTTTCCAAATTACCCGTGTCATTTCATCTCCTACACGTGTCAAAAAGGATGTTTAATCACAGATAGAAAGTAGAAACATGATGTTTTCTTAGCACCTATTCAACTACAATGACATAACAATAACAAGCTCGATGTTAGTATTGGCCGTCTATAAAGTTTCAGAAATCAATGATTCAATTCAAGCACAGTAAGCTTCAAGAGAATTCAGAAGACGTAAGTTTTTTGACTGGCACTGAGAGGTTCATTAAGAAAACAGCATGCCAAAGTTTTATAGGAAAATGAAATTGGATAAGTTGACAGCTATCCTCCACTAGACACAGCTATGCAGATCATTCGGCTGTGCATGACCATTTAAATTTCCATATAAGAACTTTCATAGTAATTGCTAAGATTTTTGGTTATGAACCATAAATCCCAAGAACTCGAGAGCCCAACCTCATATAAAAGAAATATAGATTTTATAAACAATTATGCTTTTAAGTTTTGATATAAACATTAAACGGAGATCCCCATATTCTATAAATCCATAACACTCGCACCACAGAAGGAAATGCATCAGGCATATTACGTTCAATTAATGAAACCCAGTCTGCCCAAGTGCCTTGTTTAGAATGAACTCTGTTTCTGCATGTTCTACGATGTTGGATTCAGAAAACATATAAAATGTCATTATGACAAATGCAAGTATGGCAGAACTTGGCCAGAAAATAGTCACAGTAGAAGATAATATCAACAGTTTGCTCAGTCAAAGCAAAGACAAGCAGCGCCCATAATCATGTGAATGACAAATTTATTTGTACAGGTTGGTTGATCCCTCCTCATTGATTTTAAGTACCAAATCACTGGTTAGTCATAATGAACAGAAAGCAGATAAGCAGCAGCCAACGTAATGAACAATTATGCAGCACTGGTGCTTTGTAAACGTAGCGCGAACATGTCTGAGGTATGTTTTACTCGTAGCACATTACACTTCAAATTACAAGAAAAATACTCTATTCTTTTAAGCTTCAACGCCTATATTTTGCTATCTCCCAAAATGGGCAGGGAAATGGAGGAGCTGAAGAATTGAGGCCATCAGTATCTTTTAAAAGGCAAACTATTTAAGCTCTTCACGTTTAAACTATTCGCAGGAGAACTAAAAACCTCATCACGTTTTGGCATCTTTGCTGCTTATAATTCAAATTTCGAGCTTCGTATGGATGAAGCCTACCCAAAAGTTGTTGTTTTGCACAAAATCTTCCCAATGAAAAGCAGAACACCAGAACTTCAAAGGATCAAAACCCATTAGAATTCAATTCCCAATAATAAATTAAAGAACACACTTCTATTGTCACAGCTAATTTATCACTAATTATATGAAAGCAGCATTTCGATCATCATCAGTGACCACATGTACAAAATCAGAGAAATGTCAAAGTGAAAGATGCTTTCTCTTACCGTCCATTTCAACGATGGGGTTGTCCACCCTTATCTTCTGAAACGCCATTCCTATTGCTGCAATTTTCTTAAGGGTAAAAACAAACTGCAGATGAACACAGCAAGGAAACAGCGATGGGAATTAAAGAAAATAAACCCCCGTTTAGTTAGTGCCTTCTTGCCGTCTTCCCCGGCTGATCGAAGCACACGACAAAAGATCTGATCACTTCGTTTTCGGTTTGGCTGAAATACCAAAAGTGTCAATGTTCTTGTTTTTTTTTAATTGAGGTCCCAAAAAAAATTTCCCGATTATTGTCTATCAATTTGACAGTTAATTTAGTTATTCAATGTGTTACGTTGCTGTAAATTTAGCAAAATTGGCAGTATCCAATATGCCATGTTACATAATTAACATGTTTTAGATTTTAGCTTTTCTTTGAAATTTTATAATGGTTATCTAAGTTTTTTTTTAAATAATCAGAATTTAAATAAATGTTTTGTAATGAAAAAGTAAAAAAAAAAAAAAACAGAGAGCTGATTTTGTAGTTTATGATGATGACCGGTGATGAGGATTATTACTTAGAGGATGTTTGAGTAACCTCGGAATCACTTTTCAGAAGCACTTTTTCGTAAATTAAGACAAACTCCTTCATATATTTACTGTTATATCATAAAAGCACTTCTGAAGCCATGATTTTGTTTTTACACAAACACTTTTTTAGATTTAATAGATTCTTGTGTGGTGTGGACCACTAGTAATAGAGTATATGCAATTTTGTAATTTCAAATTTCTTTTTTAACTGAAAGAAATAATATTATATTATACAAAATATTAACGGCACAACAAAAGATATAAGCACTAATCAACTGAGAAAGAGTAAAGATCAAACACAAGATGCAAGACGGAGCAAAAAGACAGCAGAAAATAAAGCAAACTGAAATACCACTCATGCATGTAATTTCAAGTTACATTGTAGCTTTCCAAGCTGAAATAATGCTCATGTACTTTTTTTTTCACTGTAGTAATTTTTTTACCAAGGTAATTGCGACAATTTTATACTATGTTCAGTTCTTAATATAAAATCTAGTTGACTAATTTGGGAGATAGAGATTGAAAAAGTTATTAAATTACTTCAAAGTATTATATTTATTGTTTGGGTTAATATATATTTGGTCTTACCATTCACGTAATGGGATTTACAAAAAACCAGCAGGCATATGACAGCAGTTACGTTACGTAATTGCTTGCCAGTTTTCTAATTTCCGCCTCATCTTTCCGCTTGGTTTACTCCCTCTCTCACCACAAATCCTCTTTCCCACAACCCAAAACCCACCAAATCAACAATCTCTACAGAATGGTGATGCGAAGGATTTAGTTTCGTCAACTGAGGGGGTTCGGTTTCGTGGAGTGGGAGGATTGGTTTCATCGAGTAGAGGGATTCGGTTTCACTGAGGGGAGGGATTAGTTTCACCGAGTAGATGGATTGGTTTCGCCAAGGGGGGCAGTTTCTCTTTCGCCGAGTGGGGGGATTGCTTTCGCTGGGAGGAGGCGAACACAATAAGGGCAATTCAGTCTTTAGGCCAAAAATTAAAATTCAGATTGGTACCTGATGCCTTCTTTGTCATTTTGCTTATTCAGGTCCCTTGGGTGTCTTTTGGAATTCAAGTGATATTTTAGTGTCATTTTCCCAATTTTATAATGGTTATCTAAGTTTTTTTAAAAATAATCAGAATTTAAATAAATGTTTGTAATGAAAAAGTCAAAAAAAAAAAAAACAGAGAGCTGATTTGTAGTTTTTGATGATGACCGGTGATGAGGATTATTACTTAGAGGATGTTTGAGTAACTCGAAATCACTTTCCAAAAGCACTTTTCGTAAATTAAGACAAACTCCTCCACATATTTACTTCGTATATCATAAAAGCACTTCTGAAACATGATTTTGTTTACACAAACACTTTTTTAGATTTTTAATAGATTCTTGTGTGGTGTGGACCACTAGTAATAGAGTATATGCAATTTCTTGTAATTTCAAATTTCTTTTTTAATGAAAGAAATATTATATTTATACAAAATATTAATGGCAACAAAAGATATAAGCACTAATCGACTGAGAAAGAGTAAAGATCCAACACAAGATGAAAGACGGAGCAAAAAGACAGCAGAAAATAAAGCAAACTGAAATACCACTCATGCATGTAATTTCAAGTTACATTGTAGCTTTTCCAAGCTGAAATAATACTCGTACATTTTTTTTTCACTGCAGTAATTTTTTTACCAAGGTAACTGCGACAATTTTATACTATGTTCAGTTCTTAATACAAAATCTAGTGACTAATTTAGATATGGAGATTGAAAAAGTTATTAAATTACTTCAAAGTATTTATTTATTGTTTGGGTTAATATAATGTTGGTCCTTATAGTTATGTTCATTTTGGTTTTGGTCTCTATACTTTCAAGTAATAGGTTTTGGTCCCTCAAGTTTTATTCCATTTATAACGTTAGTCCCTATAGTTTAATGAGGATCTAAACAGTGTTAAGTTTGCAAATGTGTCACTAACACTATTTATTATACTGACATGGCGTGCTAACTAAGTAAGATGACTGGATATGTGATTTTAATTTTATATATATATATAAATATATATATATATATATAAAAGCCATCATCTTCTTCGCGTAATGGGGCTTCTCACTGCGCACCATTGATCATTGTCATCATCTCGCTTTTTTCTTGTAGGGTTGTAATAACTTGAGGAGCCAAGTGTCAGCTCAATCTCAAACTCATACATGATCTCTACCTCATCATTGGTTGATTCTGCAGTGTGCTCCTCCACTGTCCTGTTCAAGATCAAATCTACTTTCAGGCTTTTTATATGCATCTTTTGATGATTAGTGATGTAACATGAACTACTTGATTACTCAATCTCTAAATGATCAATAATTTAAAGGGCAAAATTTAGAAAGACAAGTACTTGCTCCATGAGCCACCTTTGTTTTTTGTTCAAAAAACAGAGATTAACATAGCCATGAACCTGAAAGTTGCAAGCCTAAAGATCTTTGCAATGGCAGAGCAATTGGACCTTGTGGTCCTCGTATTCTTCAATTCTATTTATTTTTCTCAATAATATTACTCTTATAAATTAATAATGACTTAGATAAGATATCTATGTCCCGCGCGATTTGGCTTTCCTAATTGATTGATTTTTTCGAGAGTTAGTTGACATATATTTCATATAAAATACTCCTCCGGTCTTTAATATAGGATCCAATTCTTGAGTTGGTTTTGGTCCTAAATATAAGACCCATTTCTCATATTTATCAATTTTCTCTAAATTACTCTTGTGGATACTCCCTCAACCATAATCAAATAGAAGAGGGAGAGGGAGTAGTAATAAGAAAGATGATTATGGTGTTTTAGGAAAAATGTGTCATTTTTCTTATAATTAACTAACTTACCTAACTTCCTTAATCTAATCAAATTAGTTAAATGGGTCTTATATTAAGGACCGGAGGAGTAATAAATTTCAAACAAATTCTGCAACCTCTTCGCCTCTAACCCACAAAAAACGCCTCATATGAACATATAATTTCAAAACATGGTGATCTCTTCAAAGCATAAACATCCTTCACCCCTTTTGACTTCCCTCCCCAAGTAACCAATTCTTTTCCACGTCTGCTCTCTTCTCTATTTTGGCTTCCCCTTTTATAAGTGAGCCAATGAAGGAGGGCTGAGGAGTCACGGGGGATCATCTTCTTCATCAAGAGGAGGGAGAGAAAGCTGGGAAGAGCTAGACAGAGACACCGTTGACTAGAATGAATCCTCTTCTTCACTGAAGGTTTGATGACATGATCTGTGGAGGGCACCGTCGAAAGAGTGAGTTTTAATCAGGAGAGGAGGGGAAAACACCATTAGAGGTAGCAAAGGAAATGCTTAATGCAATTTTGATGATGACGCTGATGCACAGTGAGAAGAAGATGATGACTTTTTTTTTTTAATAATTAAAATCACATATCAGTCATCTTGCTTGGTCAGCATGCCATGCCAGTAGAATAAACGGTGTTAATAACACATCAGCAAACTTAACACTATTTAGGTTCTTATTAAACTATAGGGACTAACCTTATAAACGGAATAAAACTTGAGGAACCAAAACCAATTGCTTGAAAGTATAGGGATCAAAACCAAAATGAATACAAACTATAAGAACCAAACATTATATTAACCCTTATTGTTTTTTCAAATTAATTTGCCTCACTTATAAATTGATATATAATCTAATAAATTGTATAAGTATTTTAGAGAAATAATAAAAATATGTTATAATTAAGTAATTTAATAATTTTTTTAAATTAATTAATGACTTCTTATAAGGTAGTGTTGAGTATTAGGAAATTATAATTAGTATTGTGAAGTCCAATAAAAACAATAGCTTTTTCAACATGATCACATTAGTTGATTTAACCTTATTCAAAAGAAAAATATTGAGTCATTTTTACTTAATCCAATTGTAATTTGTAAATATTAATCTTATGTTCGTTTTTTCAAATAAAAGTTTGGAAATAATGTTGAAATTTTATTTTCATAGAGAGCAATGATGTGCCATATTAGCTTAGTCTCTATTGAATTTTTAGAGGAAAGGCCTAGCATAATATGAGGATGATATATACTATACAGTCAGATAGATGGAATTTATCTAAATTTTTTTGAAACTTGTGAATGTAATTTATACTTTTACTGGTTTATATATGTGTGTGTGAAATTTATCTCAAGACAAAATATACTTTATTTCATTTTAATTCTAAACTTCCTGACCAAACTAATTTCATCATTTTGCTAACAAAATAATTCTGATCAACTTAAATACATGTGTTATTTTTGTATTCGTGCATGTTTAAATAAAATATATTTGTCTTTTTTTTTTGCCAACATTTGTCTGTTTGGATAAATTGAAGAAGCAAAAAATTAAAATCAAATTAAAGTTTATATTTTAAAATAAAATAATTTTAATAAATATTCTTACTTGACCAAATGACAACGAAAAATATCACAGGCTTACTCAAATCCCTCTAGCCAAGTCACTGGTCGTCTTCCTCTACTTGCCAATAGCAAAAACGTCTGAGCAAGCTTAGCTTCTTCACTTTCACTCTGTTTCGCAGTCTCTCACATCGCACCTGGCCTTCCCCACTTCTTCCTTCCTGCAATGGCAGAGAAGCTCTCTGTGCCTCTACTTCTTCCAAATCCACCGCCATCCAGGCCTCTCTTCCCCAGTCATCCTCAATTTCATCCCACGTCACCCTCGCCTCCTCCAACACCGCCAATGACTCCTCGTCTCCAAGACCTCCTTTTGAACAACAATGATTCCACTTCTTCGCAACACCAACACAATAATGCTCGCCACCCAGATGAGCCAACCAGAACACGAAGCCGAAGCCGCATCGGCAAGTCCTTTGACTCCAACCGCGGCAAGCCTTGGTCGAACCATCGACTTTCAGCTCAAGGTGAGCGAATTCTCCAAATCTTAATTGACCCATCATTTGATTCCGAGCAATTGGATGAAACTTTGCGTCAATTTTTTGGTTCTGGTGGGGGCTCACTGTCTTCAGATATATTGGGCATAATTAAAGGTTTAGGGTTCAACAATAAACTTGACTTGGCATTGAGTGTTTTTGAATGGGTTCGTAAAAGGGAAGATTATGTCACGCTTTTGACTGGTTCTTCAACTGCTGTGATTGTCAACCTTCTCGGTAAAGCGGGTCGGGTTTCATCTGCTGCCTCTTTGCTTCACAATCTGCAAATAAATGGGGTTGAAATAGATGTCTATGCTTATACTTCTTTAATAACGGCTTATGCTAATAATGGGAGGTATAGGGAGGCTGTGATGGTGTTCAACAAGATGGAAGAAGAGGGGTGTACCCCTACTTTAATTACTTACAATGTGATTTTGAATGTTTATGGAAAAATGGGCATGCCTTGGAGTAAGATTATAGCGCTTGTTGAGGGTATGAAAGTAAATGGGGTTGCCCCGGATTTGTACACTTACAATACACTAATAAGTTGTTGTCGCCGGGGTTCTTTGTACAAAGAAGCCGTTGAACTTTTTGAGGAGATGAAATTACATGGATTTACACCTGACAAGGTTACATACAATGCATTGTTGGATGTTTATGGTAAGTCCTGGCGGCCTAAGGAGGCCATGGAGGTTCTGAAAGAGATGGAGAGTAATGGATTTCCCCCTAGCATTATAACTTACAATTCATTGGTATCTGCTTGTGCTAAAGGTGGGTTGTTGCGGGAAGCAACAATGCTTAAAAACCAAATGATGGAGAAAGGGATCAAACCTGATGTTTTCACCTATACCACCCTTTTGTCCGGATTTGAGAAGGCTGGCAAAGATGATTTTGCAATGGAGGTTTTTAAAGAAATGACAGTAATGGGTTGTAAACCTAATATATGTACATTCAATGCTCTTATTAAGATGTATGGCAACCGAGGAAAATTTGAAGAAATGATGAATGTTTTTGAAGAGATCAAGTTGTGCAGATGTTCCCCTGATATTGTTACTTGGAACACACTTTTAGCTGTATTTGGGCAGAATGGAATGGATTCTGAAGTATCAGGGGTTTTTAAAGAAATGAAGAGAGAGAGCAGATTTGTGCCTGAGAGGGACACTTTCAACACCTTAATCAGTGCATACAGCAGGTGTGGTTCCTTTGACCAGGCAATGGCCATTTACAAGAGAATGTTGGAAGCTGGAGTGACTCCGGATCTTTCAACCTATAATGCTGTTTTAGCAGCATTGGCACGAGGGGGGCTTTGGGAACAGTCAGAGAAAATCCTTGCAGAAATGAAGGGCGGTAGGTGTAAGCCTAATGAGCTATCATACTCTTCTTTGCTTCATGCATATGCCAATGGCAAGGAGATTGAGAAGATGAAAGCTTTTGCTGAGGAGATATACTGTAGTTCAGTTGAAAAGCATGCTGTGCTTTTGAAGACCCTTGTACTAGTAAATAGCAAGATGGACCTCCTGATGGAAACAGAGCGAGCTTTTATGGAGCTACGGAGAAGAGGGGTTTCACCTGACATAACTACTCTGAATGCGATGCTATCAATATATGGAAGGAAGCAGTTGGTGGCCAAAACCAATGAAATTTTGAACTTCATGTATGAGAGTGGATTTACTCCAAGCTTGACTACTTATAATAGTTTGATGTATATGTATAGCCGTTCGGGGAACTTCCAAAAGTCAGAGGAAGTCTTGAGGGAAATTCTGGGGAAAGGGATCAAGCCTGATATAATTTCATACAATACAGTTATTTATGCGTACTGTAGAAATGGTAGGATGGGGGATGCTTCACGGATACTATCTGAAATGAAAGATAATGGCCTTCTTCCTGATGTTGTAACGTACAACACTTTTGTTGCAACTTATGCTGCTAATTCTATGTTTGTGGAGGCGATTGATGTGGTTCGATACATGATCAAGCAAGGGTGTAAGCCAAACCAGAGTACTTACAACTCTATAGTTGATGGATATCGTAAGCTCAATCAACTGGACGAAGCTGACAATTTCGTTAAGAATCTCAGGGACCTTGATGCTCACATTTCAAAGGATGAAGAAGGCAGGTTATTGGAGCGGATTGGAAGGAAACGGTTGTAACTTGTTTGATGATTCTCCTGTGCTTCATGGCAATGCTTCTGTAGCTGCTAGTGGTCACATGTTCTTCCATGTGGTGTAGTATTCAGGGTTCAAATGTAATCCTGAACTTTGTCCAAAAGCCACACATAATTGCTTTACTTCGTCCAATAAAGACATAACATGTAGAGAGATTTTTTTTTTGTTTGAAAATACTATTGAGTTGTAAAAGATCTCTCCTTGTCATGTTTTTATTAAGGAATCTTGTAGCAAACGTGTGGAAGCCGCTCCTAAGTTTCCTGATTGAGCTCATAGGAAAGATCAGTAATACGTCTGATGGTGATGATGCAGAGATGGTGTGGATGTACAGGAACATGAAATTCCAAAGGAAGTGGGGTGGATGGTGAGATTTTGTTGTGATGATATATAATATTGTATAATTATTTACTTTTTAGCAACGAAATCAAAATCTCTCCGTGCAGTTAAACTTCTCTTGTTCTTTGATAAGAGCACTTCTGATGATATTTTGTAATCAATGTATCTAATTTGAAATATGATTTTGTATGATCTTGATGTAACTATCTTTTTGCACCTCCAAAGAAGTATGGCTTTTCCTTTCTCTTAGTTCCTTGAATGTCTAATTACATTTTTGCAGGATGCTTCGTTAGAATATGAATTCAAGTTTATCCTTGAAAAAGCGAGATTGAACTTGTCCATAATGCAATCAAATATCTATTTTATTTCTTCTTACATTGAATAGTTTAAAGAGAAGCAATCTGTAATTTGTAATGATAAAAAATTAAAGATGTAGCGCCCACAAATGTAAAGAGACTTAAATAGCTATTCTTTATTTATAACATATTTTCTGGAATTTTTTATTTTGAAAATATGTCTTGAAATTTACGTAGCGTTGTATTATTTACTCCCTCTGGTGTTTTTATTATAACTATATGTAAGACCTTTTTTAAAAGAATTTTTTTCTCTTTTATAAGATCTTATAATAATTTCAATGAGCATTAAATATTTTTTCCCATATCTGCCTATATTCAATAAGGGTAGTGAGAAGCCGGCCAAAATTGTGCATTTAGCTTTCCAGATAGAGGGGACCTAACGAGTGAAAGGCGGACCATGTTCTTGATGCATTCCACCTTCTCTGGTCTTCCTCCGTCACTGATCTCTTCGGTCTCATCAGGCCGTCACAGAAATCCTATTATTCACCATCAACTTCCCCAACATCGTCTCAGAAACCCCAACGCTTCTACCTTCAAAGTTACTTGTTTTGCGGCTCTATCATTCGATGACATCGTTCAATTAACCCATAACAAGGTGCCCCATTTCGACATTCAATCGTCAACCCTTATACATGTTACGGGTTTATCTCAATTTTCACGTTTTGTCAGTTTCACTCCTTTTTTGTTTTGATCTGATTTATGTCGCTGAAATTGTAAGTATCTGCTACGAAGGTTCTGATTGCAGCTGGTGCTTCTGCGGCAATTGGGCAGATTTCGAAGCCCTTTACCTGTGCGTTTCTATATCGGAAAGAGTTTGATATCAAGGCGTTTATTCAGGCTGGAGGGTTTCCATCAACACATTCATCCGTACGACTCTGAACCCCTATCCTCTGGATTAGAGATAATTATACAAGCAGCAGCTATCCTACAATCAAAGAAACAAAGTATAGGGGAGACTTTTTCTTAAGCAACGCCGAAATCTTAAAGAGAGAACAAAAATCTCTGAAATATTGCGTGAACTAGTTTTATTTCTACGAAGTAATGAATGGACGAACTAGGTTTTGTTCATATGACATGCTACACTTTTTTATGTTCAACATCTTTGAATTGCTTTACAAGATGATCATGTGATAGTAGGGATAGTTTTTTTTTTAATTGTTTTTTATTACCTAGCCTGCTCTTTGTTTTCTGCGTTATCCTAGGATTATTTGATAAACAGAATGGAAATTAGTAAAAGGGCAAGTAAAATGAGAAAATAATTTTGTGCACGAAAAACATTTAAAGTCCTCAAATAAAAGCAGTATTAGAACTATTGTTGATTAGTACTAATAGTAACACTATAACACACATATTATTTCATGGCTTTTTTCATGTGTAAAGGACAGGAAATCTCCTTCCCTTATGCCCCATTTGATTGCAATAAAGAGAAACTATTTCCTTTTTCTTGCGCAGAAGATGAGCTAAGCAATTTTTATTATACTTCAGTTGTTGTTACTCAACAATAATTATTCTTTTTTTTTTTTGTGATAATAATTATTCCTTTTTGTTACCTTCCAGGAGCACAGGAAATATTTTTATCCACAAATAACGAATTTTCATTTCATTCCATGTGGCAAATAAACCCTAACTTACCCAATGGATAGAGGGTCGAAACTCTTAAAAGTAGCTTAGCTCAGAACATGGCAAAAGCTTTGGCTATGGATTCTGGCCCATGGCTGGCTGAACGAACTATTCTGTAACTCTCTTGAGAGAGAGAAGGCCAGCTTAAAGCTTTGAAAATTCACTTTTCTCAGGCCCCTAGTCATAAAAGACCAATGCTCACTGAAAAGACCAAGTCTGAGGCTAAATAGGCGCATAACAAATCAAGAATTTTTTTATTAGTTTGCCCTAAAAGGTATATACTTGTCATATTTCAAAACAGAAAATTCTGATAGCAAAAACCTAATAAAAACTATACCTGAGTTTTGTTGTTATCCAAGTTTTATCTACATCACTTGAATGGTTGATTATTAATGATCCTGTTGGGGCTTTGGGTTTCAGAGTCAATCTCACAAAGTTATTTGCATTTTCCTGTGGTAGGCGACAGTGGCTTCTGCAACATTCCTTGGTCTTAATAGGTAAGAAGATTGGTTATGTTGTGCCTGCTAGGTGTTTGGTTCATTGCAACTTTCTCTGTTTTATGTATTCTCTTGAACTTCAAGAATCAAGCATAGAATTGTATAGGGAAGTTTATTTTATTGGGGGTTTATTCTAATTATATAATTTTGAAATGCAGAGGCTTCTCTGATCCCCTTTTTGGTTTATCAGTTGTGTATGCTGCCCTCATTATGTATGATGCTCAGGTATGTTATTCTTTTGTCAAATTTATGTCAAAATTCTTGTGTATTTACGCAGGACTTGAGAATTTTAAGTATCGTTTGATAGTTACCAACGAGCAATCGAACTATTTGATGTTGATTTCTGACTGAGATGGTGCAAATGATCACATTTCAATGGGATTTCCTTTTGTAATTTTACTCTCTTTATGCAAGGTGCTATAGATATTGCGGGAAAAACGTTATATCATGAACTCTCTATCTTTTGAGCTTGTGTGTTGTGATAGATCAAAGAGGAATTTTATCCCTTATTCATGTACTTTGACCTTTGAGTTCGCCATATTATGAACTTAAAGTACATAGAAAACTTCATAGCAAGGAGATAGAATTTGATTAAAAAAATGTAAAAACAAAATTCTTTGTTCTTGGAAGATTGGAATTGGGGCATTATTGTTTCAATTTGCCATGCCAGAAATGTTGTCGTAGGTGGATTCCAGCTTGCTACTAAAGCGGTGAACTTTGAAATCAATTCTGAAACGTGTGATTTGATTGAAACTTTCCAGTCTGGTTCAGATGAATGAAAGACATAGAAAAGAACATTTCTTTCCAGGACAATTTCTGTAGGCCGAACTGATATCATGGAGATTGAGGAGGCGTCATATGATATTAATAGGTTGGTGTTGCATGTCTGGGAAATGGGGGAAAAAAATTCTACTGTCTCTTGCTGTAGGGTTATATCTTCCTTTGGAACCTTTGTTGTTTTAACCCAAGTAGTTAGTTTAGTGATAGATAAGTAGAAACGAGTATCTGTCATGTGATTACATGTACATTCTCTCGTTTGAATCATAGCTTTGCCAACATCTTGGGACCATAATGCAAGAAAATTTATTGTGAATTACCCAGCCATGATATTGATGACTTGCTTCCCCTAGGCTGGAGGGGTAAATCAATTGAAGTTCACACAAGCTGGCTTTATCACCGCTTGACCACAATGTAGAAATATACTTTGTTCTTGGTTAGCAATGCTAATTGTATAACTAACATCCAAGGAAAGAGTATTTCATAAACAAAGCAAGCCATATCCTGCATGTGTCACGCTGGTGGTAGACACCACATTGCATTTAAAAACATTGAAGCAGTGCATATTTTATCATCTCTTGGTGTCCTCATTATGCCTTTCTCGTATCCATGTCAATATTTGTGCTTCCTAGAATGTTGAGTGTGGCTTTGGATTTTGCAGGGGTGTGTAAGGAGAGAAGTAGGGAATCATGCCAAGGTATTGAACAAACTACTCCAGATGCTAGAAAATTCGGTAGATTCCAAAGATAGAGATGATAGGTTGATCAATTCCCAGCTAGGAACATCAACTTCTATGAATGGAACAAGCCTAGACAAGTTCCTTGTTCCCAAGAAGCCAATTCCTTGGAACACAAACAAGGAATACATCGGTGTTGGTCGAATCTGACAGATTTTTCTGTTAGAACATAATTATCCTCATATTAGAAATATCATTGAGGTACTGTTAAGCACTAAATATGTGTATTTCTCACAACAAAAAATTTAAACATTGGTTCGTCACGTTTTGTAGGATTAGCCCTTTTCGCTAGACTCAACTACCATTGGTCTTTTCAATGATTTTTTATTGTTAAGGTATGCTTTTTTTTTTTTTGCTTGTAATTTGGTCTTTTTGCAGAATAGTTTTTTTTGAAGTGCTGTTAACTTTCAAAAACCCAATGAAATAAACAATAACCCTCTCGTTTTATTTATAAATCACTTTTAATATATTTCACATAGACTTAAAAAAAACCTTAAACTTTATTAACTCTTATTTAAAATTCAATAATTTTCCAACCTTTTTTTTTAACAAAAGAGATATATTAAATAACAGAAATATTTACGAGAGTATTACAGAAAGGCCTTTAAGAGACGAGAATTACAAAAGGAGCAGAAGTCAAAAGATGCAATTCATTGTTGTTTCTGAACTCTTGCACATGTGATCGGCTAACGCAATAACTTCATTCACAACACGGTGGGATTGGAAATCTTCCTGGTTGAAAAGTTTTCTATTACGAGTTGACCAAAACTTCCAGCATAGTAGTCCAAAGAAGACGCTCCACGATTTACCAGTCTCCTTAGTAGCAAGGTTATCTTGAAGCCACTCTGTAAAAGGCCTTGACATAAATTGTTGTAAACGTTCATGGGGAATGATGAGGCTCCAGCACATAGAAGCATGAACACATTTACGTAGCACATGGTCCAGGTCTTCTAATCCATCAGCACAGAGTTCAATTATACCATCATGGGTCATTTGCATACGTGCACGTTCAACGTTGGTCAACAGTTTGTTACTTAGCATCGGCCAGAGACAAGATTAGATCCTTTGAGGACCCAGCCATTTCCAAGCAAGATTCCAAAGGGATTGTTGAGCATCCCAGTTTATCTCCATGATTAGCTTATAGGCAAATTTGACTATAAATTCATCTTTGTTGTCGGGGCTCCAAAAGCATTTGTCCACAGTGATGGATTGGCTTGGAGGTTGCATGTTTCTAATTTTAGTGAGAACAGTGCGGGGTAGATTTGATTCAAAGGCTGCCCACTCCCAGCTGTCATCTAGGGTGACAAAATTGCTCAAAGGCTTGTGCAGATCATTTGCTGTTAGGGGAGTGTAGGACAGGTTGCATAAGGGTCCTAAGTCTTGGATCCAATTGTTAGACCAAAATCTAATCCGTGTACTATCTCCTATTTTCCACTGCAGACCAATATTCACATCTTCCATAACTGAAGCTAAGTTTCGCCAAAGGTGAGAAGTGTTCCTTATTATAAGGGGTTGATCCGAGGTATTTGGCCAGGCATATTTATGCCTAAGGACTTGAACCCAGAAAAGGCTAAGTTGATTAACAAGTGCATAGGCTAATTTCATAAAAAAGCTGAGTTTTGACCCTGTAGATCCTTCACACCACATCCTCCACAATCCTTTGGTTGACAAATTGTTTCCCATTTTACTAGATGCATACTTTTGTATTGCTCAGTGGATCCCCAAATAAAGCTACGAGTTATAGACTACAGTCTTGAACACAATGAAAATGGTAGTCTAGTGGATTGCATGGCATACAAGGGAATTGTGCTTAGCACAGATTGTGCAAGTGTGATTCTTCCAGCTAGGGACAAAGATCTCGCCTTCCAGTCAGAGAGTTTTGCCCTCACCTGTTCCTCAATATAGTGATAAGTATCTTTGGTGACCCTCTTGTGGAGGATAGGAACCCCTAGGTACCTGCCCAAATTGTTAGTTTTCCTAAAGTTTAACTGGCTGTTGATGGAATTTGCAGCTTGGTTATTGACATTTTTAGAGAAATAGATACAAATCTTTGTGGGACTAACTCTGTGGCCCGAATGACAGCAGAAATTGTCCAAAACCCTCTTAATTAGAGGTGCTTGCGAGGGAGTAGTTGAGCTGAAAAGGACTAAGTCATCTGTGAAGAAAAGGTGAGAAACAGTAGGCCCTTTTTTCCCATTCAGATCGATTGCCAATTTCCTTTATCAACTTCAGTGTGAATGTTTTGAGATAATCGTTCCATGTACAAGACAAAGATGTAGGGGGAGAGGGGATCACCTTGGCGAATTCCCCTTTGAGGTGAGAAAGAGGCAGAGGCCTTCTTGTTCCAGAGAACTGGCATCGAGGAGGTGGTAATACACTTCATTATTAAGCATCTAAGCTTGGTTGGAAACCCTGCTATCTTCATCGTATCATTAATAAAACCCCATTGAAGTCTGTCAAAAGCCTTTTCTAGATCAACCTTAATTGCCATCCATCCAACTTTGCTTGTTTTCCTTCTCATTGAGTATATTGCTTCTTGGGCAACAATGATATTATCTATAATGGAGCTCCTTTTAATGAAACTTGATTGGTATGGTAGAATAAGGTGAGCCATGAGTGGTTTGAGTCGGTTTGCTATGATTTTTGTACAAGCTTGTAAACCGTGGTGCATAAACTGATTAGGTGAAACTCCTTTAAAGTTTGATGGTTATCCACTTTTGGAATCAAGACTATCTGGGTTCTGTTAAAGCTTGTGTCGATATCACCACCTCCCATTGAGATTGAAAGAAAGCAATATGGAGACCATCAACTCTAGGAGATTTGAGTGGATGCATGTCAAAGAGAGCACGCTTAGTTTCTTTCTTAGTTACAGGACAATCCAGTGAGAAAAGCATGTCATCAGTTAGGAGTGGGAATGAACCTGTATAACTGGAGGGAACAGGATGGGTGTGGTCATTTAAGTAGATGCCTTTGAAATGGTTTAGAGCCATTTCACATAGCTTTTCTTGGTCAGATTCCCAGTTACCATCCTCTGATTGAAGGATTAGGATCCTATTTCTCTATTGCCATAGCAGGGCTTTAGTGTGGTAGTGTTTTGTGTTCCTATCTCCATCTTTGATCTATTTGCATCTTGCTTTTTGCAACCATAAAATTTCCTCATTATGGCATATTTTCTCATACTCATTGATCAATGATCCTTCTAGGTCCAAATAGCTCTGCAGGAAAGGTTGTTGTTCGAGTGCCCTCTATACACCCTGTATCCGCTTTCTTAACTCAGCTTTTCGCTTTCTAATGGACCCATAGACCTCCATGTTCCACGTGTGGACTTCTTTAGTGAAAGATTTGATATTATTGGCTAGGCTCTATTCATTACTCTAAGATTTCAGAACTAAATTATGAAAGTCTTCATGAGAGGCCCAAGCTGCTAGATAACAAAATGGTCTCTGGTTACAGTGGTCAACTTCTACTTTCTTAATTAGAATTGGTCGATGGTCGCTTTGAATTCTGGCAATATGCATGATTGGAGTAGTGGGCTGGGCTCTAATCCACAGATTGTTACAAATAGATCTGTTAAGCCTTACCATTAGGTTTCCTCTTTGTGAGGTGAATCTGGGCCTTGAGAAGTCGAGATGCATTAAGCCTATTTTACTAAGGAAATTCTTGAAACTTTTGCACCCAGAGTGTGAATGACGAGCTCCCCCCAATCTTTCATCATCTGAGATGGTGGCATTGTAATTACCAGCAAGGAGCCAAGGAATGTCAACGTTGTTTGCTATTTGAGGAAGTTTCTCCCAGAGCTTCTCACGAGCATTGGGTTGTGGACTACCATAGATAGCTGTGAAAAGAATCGGTTGGGCGATTGATTAGCACTAATTGAAGTATGAACAAATTGTCTATGATTTTGTAAGACATCAACTATAACACTGTCTTTCCATAATAGCCATATGCCTCCTTAAAAACCCATGGCTTTGATTCGATGAGAGTTTGAGTAGCCTTTGCACTTTATAACTTAATCAGTCTTACCTTCTGAAATTCTCGGTTCTATTAATACCACAACATCTAGTTTGTAGCCTTGTAAAAAATAACTCAAGGCACATTGGAATCTGACCGAGGCAGCTCCTTGGCAATTCCACACCAAAAAAGATTTATTCATAAAAGGAGAGATGTTAATGCTCCCTCTTAGAGCAGTTCAAATATGGCTCTTCATTTAGATTTGATTCATAAGCTTCCAAAAATAAGGCATCTTCATCAAAAGCAGTGGTGGAGCCTAGAGCTCTAGCTAGCGCCTTTGTTAGTTCCTTTGATGGGCCTCCAATGGCATCCCAGAACTTGGGTTTGACGCTTTTAACCCACATTGGATGTTGTACTTTAAAATACCATTTTGGATAGGCTTATGTCTGGCGCTTTTTTAAGGTTGTTTTCCTTACTAGCTCTTGTTGAGCCCATAGGTCTCCCTACTGTGCTTCTACTCTCAGTTATAGGCTTCCCCTTGATTGGCTCCAAAGAAGGACACGATTCTGTCAGCGTAATGACTGTGTTTTTAGCAGGGTCAAGATTAGTTGGTTGGTGGGCTTCCTTATAGGTTGGGACATCGAAGATTGTGTTCTTGCTTAGCTTTGCCTTTCCAGTCAATTTATCCGTGTTCCTCTTACCTGTTACCTGTTACCTTTTCCTTTCAAGTGGTTGTCTTTTCCACCCTTTCCTTCCCCTGTGTCTCTTGGGAATAACCATCTCTTGGCTCAAAGTGTTAGCTTTCCTTGCTTCTTTGCCGGGATTACTGCTATGGTGATTATCTTCTTCATCTGCAGAGTGGAGTACTTTGAACCTATTGCCTCCCCTGTCATTTTTGCTCGCTACATTGTTAGATGGCCTTTTGTAGCCTTTCCTATTTTGCCAGGCTCGAGACGGTACTTGCATCCAGGGGCCAAAGATGTGATTGTCACGCTCTACCACTTCCCGTGCCTTGGGCTCCTGATCAAAGGCAGCATGCTCAGTCTGCACCGCTGCTTGTTTCAGTGAGGTAGTTGTTGGCTCAGTCATCTTCTGCTGGCCATGTTTAGTCGGAGATGATACTTCTAGAAGACCATATCTTCCACAGTGATAACAGATTGTTGGTAGGCTCTCGTATTCCACTATTTGAGTGACTCCATCTAGCTTAACCATGAAAACTAGCAGTTTCGTGAGATCAATATTTACTGCTAGTCTGGCAAAACGAGCCTTATCCACTCTTGCCATATTATAATCTATCTTCAGAACTTGAACAATGACTTCTCCAATAGCATGAAGAACATTTTTATCGTAGTAATGATAGGGAAGACCAAGTAGCCTATCCTACCCATACACTTGCTTTATTTTGAGGTTCTGGGGAGAGAGTGATGGTTCCCACGGATGCACCGTCAAATAGTGTCCCAACACCACCTAAGGCTCGTTGAGCATGGCATTCTGGTAGTCTATTCCATTTTCAAATTTGACCATGTAACACCCCTTTCTAGCTCAGTGAGTTTGAAGTCTCCGATAGGTCTCCACATGCTAATGATCTTGTTATACAATCTGTCTTGCCTGATATACCTCCCAAGGATCTTGATCATGACAGCATATCGCATGTAGCTCGACTTTATGTCCTTTACCCGTTGTGAGAAATTGATGACTGGTACGAGGCCCTCCAGATTAATCGTAACATCACCTTTCTCGATAGTAGTTTCTTCTTTCAATTGATCAGGTTCTTATGGGGAGCCCGTTCCTAGGAGCTTATCTCTAAAGGAAGGGACATTTTGGGCGTGAACCGACTCATGGGGGATCACGAGAGTGTCATCATCCATTGCTTCTTTAGCTTCCCCTTGAAATAGCTGCTTTTGGATAGGGGAATATTCTGAAACGTCTTCTCGGCTCTCTGCCACATGTTCTTCATTATCCATATCAGTCTCTGCCTCATCCTTCTCATTTGTTCTTACCTTCTTCTTTGTCCTATTGTCTTCAGCGCCAGGAGTTTGTTCTCCTTTGTTAACAAGGGGTATGTTGATGGTTTGCTCCACTATTGATTTCTTTACTCTAGTGTTACTTCCATAGTGGGTGGAAGTATGAAATTCTCACCTTTCTCCTTTGTTGCAGTGGGCAACAGAGGTCTCTCGCTCATAGGGGTTTGCTCCAAGAGGCAACGTGGGGTCACTTGCATGATAGCCAAGAGAGAGTGTCTTTCTCTTGTTTCTTTCTCTTACCAGTATCCTTATCCTATTAACTTTTCAACTTTTTTCCTATTTAATATACATTATACTTTATATAAATAAAGTCAACATAATAATAAATGAAAGGTATAATTATATATCCATACAAAAAAGTCTCTCAATGCCCTGTAAATAGTATTAAGAAATGTTTTCTTCTCTGTTCTATAAATAGAGTCGGGGGAGTATAACATAAAGGAAAAAAGACCTGAAATTCAGGCACAATTTGCAATGGTTTGAAAAGAACAAATAAAAGGTGACAGGCTGTTCTCGTTAGGACAGGGACGGGGCCATCCCGGTCTCATCCTGTCCCGTGAACGCCCATAATAAAAATAATGTTGAAGTATACTTTTAGTTATTTAATGTTATACAAAGTTTTAATTTTTTTAAACTTTAAAATGTATATTTTTAATCCTTTAACCCTATTAAGTTTAATTTCCAAAAAATTTATGATTTTTATTAAAAAATTATCATTTAAAACTAATGATTGTAGAATTAAAGGAAAAATATGCTTTTTAAAATTAAAAAAACCAAACTAAAAATTTGTATAAAGTTAAAAGACCAAATTACTTAAAGATAAAATATAAAAAGTAGAGGAGTAATTATGTTACATAAGACGTTTATATTGTTTTAAGAAGATAAAAGTCTTCGGGCAAAAAAAAAAAAAGAAGATAAAAGTCTACATAATTAAAGTAAAATAAATTAAATTAATTTTCTATCAAATAATAGGTTTTTTCTGGAAAATATAGTTTATTTTAGCTGACCAAATAACCTTTCTCCTTTGTTTGGATATAAAGAAAAGTTGAGAGGAAAGAAAATGAGAAGAGAGAAAATGAAGAGAAGAGAAAATTAGAAAAAAAATATTATCACATTTCATGTTTAGATGGACAAGAAAAAATAGAAAGGAAAAAAAATAAGTAAATATCCAAATGACTAAAATACCCTTTCTGTTATATCAAAATATATTTTGATTAAAATCAAATTAAATCTCATAATAAAAAACCATATTTATATTAACACAATCATATACTTTAAAATCAAATTATTTGATAAAAATATATTATCATGTTATTATATTTTAATATCAAATAATTTTGTAAAAGAAAAAAAAACATTTTGTGTAATGTAATACTAAAAAAACTAAAACAACAACTCTATTTATTTTTCCTTTCAGTTCATTTTAGAAAGATTTTTTTAATTTTAATTATTTTATTTTTCAATCAAGCAAACACAAAAGAAAAACTTGATGACAATAAATAAAGTGAAAAAATAATAAAAAATAAATAGGTATTATTTGCTGGAAAAATATATGTAAGGGTAGAGAGAAAAAATATGTTTTTTTTTCTTATTTTCGCTCCATATATGAAGAGAAAAGTTGGAAAGAAAATGTATTGTGAGACCTATCTTATTTTCTCCTCAACTTTTCTTCCCTCGCATTTTTTTTTTAATCCAAGAAAAAAACCATTTCTTCTCTTATTTTTCTTCGTAGTTTTTCTTTCTTCCTTATTTTCTCTTCATCCAAGCATTCAAGAGGAAGGAACGTCGACAGCGATACTTCGCCTTGCCAGTAAGTGGGAGGCATAGCTGCAATCCCACTCATCAGTATTAATTGAAAGATAAGTAAATATTTTTTGTGAAAGAAAAATCGATGCTTGATGGCAAATCAACTCTATCTCTATGCGTATAGCCCTACCTACGGAGGAGCTTCACCGCCTTCCGCCGCCGCGGCCACCACAAGCACTGCCAGTACCCTTTCTTCCAGCCGATATCTTTCTACCGATATGTATTTTCCTCAACGCAAAGACTCCATTATTCGATACTCTTCTTACGCCGCTTCCGATGCCGACATTGCTCCACCTGGTGTTTCTACCAGACTCTCCAGCGCTGCCTCCGGACAAACAGCTTCAACCGCTACTCAGTTGCTATCTCAAGCTTCTTGGCCTGCTGCTATTGCTGCAGCTGCTGCAGCAAATGCTGGGTCGGCTGCATTGGACTCGATTGTTAACCTGAAACGCTCTTCTGATGGTTAGTTTAGTTTCCCTCTTTCATTCTTTTTACGGGTTTCTTCTATGCAGATCGATCTTGTAGATTCCTTTACGCTACTTAAATGCGAAGTCTTTATAAATAGTCACCAAGTCTAGAGGTAAAACCATGTATGAGAGCTGGACTTCGGGCTTCTGAATCTGATGGTTCAAGTTCATGGATCAAATTTAGATGCTTCACTCTTTGTCTGTGGTTGTTGGGCCAATTTTTCATAGTTTTCATGAACTGATGATAATGGGTCGGATGCTGGATCTTGTTTTGCTTTCTAACGATACATAGCATCTCCATTAATTTATGAGTAATAACTGCATATTTATTTGATAATAAAGATGAAATGTCTTCTCTTCTACTCAACTTGCTTGAGCTTGTATAGTCTATCATCAATATATTCTCTAGAATAATACTTGAAAGGTGTTGTATCCATTGACTTGAGAAATATTAGACATGCATGCTCAAAGAATATGCCGTTGAACTTAATCCAGATTTTCTAGTTTGAAAATGTCTTAAATTGTCAATGAATATATATATTGAATTTATACTAAAAATTTCTTGCAAATAAGCTTTTGGTAGGAAGCACAAATGGATGCAGTGGTTTTGTCTCTACTTATGCATTTTAGCAGCAATAATAACCTAGGAGGGGTAAAAACGGTCTAATCGGATCTTGCACTCATGAAGATAAACTCAGGACGTTTGTTTGGTTGTAATTAGTTCTTGTCGATTCAATGGAGCATTTCATACCCATGCATGAACGTTGCAATTATTTAGATCAAGAGGAAATCATGATCTTTGATATGTTTTGTCTCTAATTATGGTTCTAGTCCCCTCCCCTTCTTGCCAACAATTATGGTTCTGGTTGCATGAAATTTACTAGGATTCAGGTGTTTTTTTTTCTTTTTGTTTTTTTTTTTGGGGAGGGCCTTCAAATGAGTCATTAGTGTGGCAAATGAATGGATCTTGACTAAATAGTTTTACCCTAATTGTTCTTTCATTCAAGACTTAAGCGATACTAATAGAGAAGGATGCTATATCAATAATCCTACTTTATGTTGGCTTCTAAGATCTAATGCTTTCTGATAAAGTCAATTTGTTTTTTCTGATTTCAGAGAGTGCACAGGTTTGCTATTATATATATTTATATATATATATATATATGAGCGATATTAACTGTCATTTTCCCCATATAACGTTAGTAAACATATATTCGTACGCTTATTCATTAGATGCATTATTTGCAGCTTAAATAGAGTTCATCTCATTTTTGCTATGATGTATATTCTACGCATTTGCTAAGTGTGTGCTCTTGATTCAAAATTATTTTCTAAGTCAAACTTATTGAGTAACATATATTCGGTTTGGTTTTCTTGTACATACTTGCCTATTATGTATTATAGCGCTCTACCATCCAACTGTTTTGCAAACCCATAACACGATTGGGCAAAGTGAAGCTTGGTATTCTACAAATTCATTAACAAAGCGCCCTAGATACGAGAGTACAAGCAATTTGCCTATATATCCTCAGAGGCCAGGAGAGAAGGATTGTGCACACTATATGCTCACAAGAACCTGTAAATTTGGAGATGCCTGCATATTTGACCATCCTATTTGGGTTCCTGAAGGTGGAATCCCAGATTGGAAAGAGGTGACCGTTTATTGCCATTATTTATGTGACTGAAATGTATATTTTATTTTATATCATACATTTATTATTATATACTGAAAAGTGACTTGTATACTATATTTAGATATATGACTTGAATATATATGAACGAATTTATGTAAATTTTGTATACTAGTTTAACTGAGGCCAGCTCTTACCATTTAAGTTTATTATATATGGCTGTTTTCAATGTATGTAAAAAAAAATTATTTGTATGATACTTATTTGTATATGATGAATTGAAATTTCAAAGTTTGAAGGAAACATTCTTAATTGTTTTAAAATTTCCTTTTATATAGAGTTGCTTGGTCATACAATAGACAGCAACTCTTACTAATTTTAGCGCTACAGAGTTGATGGTGAATGTAGGAGGCTTGGCCTATGGTTGAGCTGGAAGCTTGTAATTATACAAGCTAATTGGCGTTTCTCTACATAGTATGTGGATGGCAATGTTATCAATATTGCTGATATGGCATCCATTTGAATTAGTAAGATTTTGAAGCTTCTTGGGGGAAGCTGGCGCTAACCTTTACCTAGTGCTGGTGATTTACAGGTCTTCTTACCAGCTACATGGTAGCTCTTGTTTATTACTGTATAATGTCATAGACGGTGTATGTAAACTAATTTGGGAGTATCATCCTGCCCTCAGCTAGTGTTCTGTGCCTGCTTGCTAGGATGTGTAGATTGAGGTTGTTGCCTTGTGCCTCTTACTGTTCTGGTTAGCACTTTGAAATATAGTTACTGGGGACTAAAAACTGGTGTAATGGTTCTAACAACCGCATGATGGAGTCTCTACACACGAGATGCTTTCTGCATGCCATGATTTTTTGCATTTATCACTTGCTGCTTTGATAGGATTTTTGCAAACGTTTCCTTCTTCAATTTGAAGATATTATGACCCTTACGCATGATCATAGATCTTTTCATCTCATATGCCGGCAAACACCCCCCTAATTTTCCTCTCTCCTAATAAAAACAGTTTTCTCCTGTTTCATGTTTCAGTAACCTTGATGAACACTTATTCTTGTCTATGAGTGGAGATGGGAACTGAGATGAAGACACTGCATCTGTTCACCATGTCGGTCACCTATAAAATAAATATTTCTTCTGAATATGATTCTAAATTTTTAAGCAAAATTTATATACTTCTTTGTTTCAAAAAGTTGAGGCAAAGAAACTAAATAAGTTGGGTCTATCTGAACCTTAAAGTTGGCCAAGTGCTTGACCATAAAGAATGTGTTATCTACCAAGAAATGAAAATAAGACAAAGAAGAATATTTTTGCTGTAAGTGGCGAGTCTATTTTTCTTGTTTGACTATCTCACATTTCTTTAACGAATGAATGAGATATTTCTATCCTGAAAAATGGGAGGAGTGTTTGATATGGGTTTGAATCTAGTGGGGCTGCTTGGTATGCTAGACTAGGTTTTGTTCTCATGGATTGATCAAGGTGAAATATGTTCGTAAAAAGATTTTAACACCTCAAAATGAAGTTGCTGGTTTCCACTATTAAATATTTCATTTATATGTTTTTTAGGTTCCAAGTGTTGTTACAAGTGAGACTCTTCCTGAAAGACCAGGAGAACTGGATTGTCCAGTGAGTAGAATTTCCACTTATTTGCCTTTCTCTTACTTCAGATGCGTTAGGAACATCTTCTAATTTGTTGTGGTTTCCATTTGTTGCAGTACTTTCTTAAAACTAAGAGATGCAAGTTTGGTTCAAGGTGCAAGTTTAACCATCCCATGCATTTGTTTGAAAATGCTGATGTTTCCACCTTACCTGAGAGGCCTTCAGAGCCCCCATGCGCGGTTAGATATAATATCTTTTAGCTTCACTTGAAGCATTGATAATCTATAACTTACTGTATTTTGCATTTATGCAGTTCTACATGAAAACTGGAACATGTAAGTTTGGTATTACCTGTAAATTTCATCACCCAAGAGACATACAGATTCAGCTATCTGAAGAACAGAATGGTGCTGCTGGGCAGACCTACTTGACCCCTAATATAAAAGGGGCTTCAGGAGATACACAATTATCTAATCTTTTTAGTTCGTACACTGCTCCTGTATTGCATAATAGCAAAGGGCTTCCTGTAAGACTGGTATTTATCTGTTTTGGTATTTATTCTCTGCTGATGAAAAAAATGTTCAAGACATCCTAAAAGGAGAATACAAGTATCGTATTTTTCCCCCATTATATCTGGTCATATAAACTATTATTCATTTGTGACACTGCTGAGAAACTCAGTTTCCAAGTTGCCTCAACGGATTGGTCTTGTCTGGTTGTGTGATTTAAAAGCTTTTGCTGACGTGTCATCTGTGGTCATATATTGTTGGCTGAGGTGGAAAAAACCTTGATTCTATCTTACATTTTTTTGTTTAGTTACAATACTTGACAACAAAGGATATCTATCAAATTACACCTGACTGCATTGTATGAATTTACTGCTTTATTTGCTTCATATTTTGAAAAGCCTATGTGCAAATTTCTTCTGACAGGGTGAAGTAGATTGTCCATTCTACATGAAGACTGGCAGGTAAATATTCCTGCTTTGATTTTGGTAGAGTTATTTAATGGATAAAGGGTTGCTGATATTCTCCATTCATATGAATCAGTTGCAAATACGGTGCTACATGCCGCTACAATCATCCTGATAGGAATGGTATGTATATGATGTCGGGTGTTAATAATGTCATGTTTCGTGAACTGTCATTTTATATGGCTGTAACTTTGGTGCAGTAATTAACCCACCTGCTGCTGGGTTAGGCCATTCTGTTTTGACATCATCAGCTGCTAATCTTAACTTTGGAATAGTAAATCCAGCTGCATCAATTTATCAAGCTATTGACCCCAGATTGTCAAGTGCTGCGGTAATTTGGAAGTTGTTATTTTACTTATTTTAATTTGATAGCACTGAATGATGCAAATTGCAATGAATCTAATCCATGTGCACTACTTCTTTTGGGGGAAAAGGATAGGGCTGAAATTGCTTCTTGCGTGCACGAAATACAGGGTCTAAAATAAATATTTTTCTACTGATGTTGAAGGAAAGCGTTGGCTTGATGTAGTGAACAGGATTAGGGGCCATACTATTATTAATTTATGAAAGTCAAGGTACTAAAAACTAGACCGGCAGTTGAACCGGTCAAGACAATGGGTCAAGGGTCAGTCAGTCAGTCACCGGAGTCAAACTGAGGGTCAAACCGATGAGAAATAAAAAAATAAAAAATAATTTAAATCTTCACTGAGAACTAGATGTCAATTTAATATCTTGAATCACTAGTAAAATAATCACATCCTTACAATTTCTAATAATATCATACTACTAAAATCACTAAATATTCATTCCAACAAAATATCAAAGTAGATATATGATAACAAAATATTTCTCCTTATAATTATTCAATTACTAAGTCCTAATTATCAACAACTTTTTTAAAAAAATCATCAAAATATATATTTTTTTTAAAAAAAGAGGGACCGGGGTTAACCCACCAAATTGGGCGGATTACCTGGGTCATTACTGGGTCACACTGGTTCATTCCGGATCACACCGGGTCAAAGTGACCCCGGTTCATAGGCTCAACCGGACCCGTTCCCTGGCCGGTTCGCCGGTTTCCTATCAGAACTAGCTGGTCCGGTTCGGTCTGGTTTTTAATACCATGATAAAAGTTGTGCCTTTTCAATGCTGTGAAATGTGGATTAGTGATGGGACCTATACATATTAGTCAAGAACTGATCTTACCACTTGCAGCATGTTTCAAGTTTCTCAACATCAACCTAGATAGAGGTTCTGATGGGCACTCAAATGGGCTTGGGAAACTTCCTTCAAAAGCTGGTTATTGATATAGAAGAACCAATTCATTTAAGTAAACCATAGAACTGGTGTTATTACTCATTTTGAGGCTAAACATCCTATAGACTTTGGTCTCTACCAATTAGCTACCTTTGGAATGCTGACAGTTTTGTTGTTACGCTCAGCAATATTTTGCTTGGCTTTTTAGTCAAAACCATTCACAGGAAGTCCACAGAGCTGCCAACTACTGGCTTTGATGCCAATTAATGGCACCTAAACACAATGTAGGTGCTTTCTCCAATAGTGGTGAACCAACTCATTTGTGCACCCCATAGAAAAGTCCCTGCTACTTAATGTGGGATTAGGTATCCCATGCTATCTTGGTGTCCATTAGATTGGCTTTGACACAACTTGTTCGCTTTTGGGTAAATTTTTTAATTTCCATAGAAAAATACCAGAGTATGGAACCGGAATCTGTACTGTCGGGGTACTATATCGAATTAGTATGAATTAATCAATTTTTTATATGCCAGTGGTGTTACTTATTTTTCCCCGATTTTGGTTCTCCTGACAATCTGAAAACAAAGACACTGCCAAATTATCTGTTTGTTTGATGTATATTGTTCAGTCTTAATGAATATCAAGTGAATTATAGTTTTTGTGTGGTTGTATTATGAAACCTGTTGGATTCTTTTGGAATTTTTCTTTTGAATGTTCAGTCTTAATGAACTCAATTGGGAGTAGATATCCTTATCAGATATCAAATATCAGTTTTATAGACATTCAGATGAAATATGAATTGTTTTTGTGGGGAAGATCTGCACTATCAGATAATGCTATCTTTTTCTGTGTACGGCTACTTTTTCCTCCTCTTTGAAAGAGCTCTTATCGTTGGGGATACTTCAGAGATCCTATCTTTTTCATTCTAACCTCTAGAAGTAGAAGTGCAATATTTGGATTTTAAACCCAAGCCTTGCCCCATTGATAGTATCAATCACAAACAAGATTGTTGAAAAACGAATGTGCTTGTCATTAAACTCGTGGAGAAGATCTATACTCTACTTGAATTCTAGTTATTTTCTCGAGGTATGACTGTGGTCATATTCAGTCCAACTGATCCATGTAACTTGCTTGCCAGTCCCAGGTGGGAATAGCACCAACCGTCTATCCTCAACGACCAGGACAGATTGAGTGTGATGTAAGTACTTATTTTATTCCTGTTGGGATACAATCTTTAGTTTCAGTTGCCTGGGTTACTCGGTGTTAAATAACCTATAATGTCAGGGCCTTAAATTTGTAGTTACTGGTGTTCTTTTAGATTCAGGCAACTAATATCAGATTGCTACTGCTGCTGCTGCTGCTGTAATATTAGACTGTTATGGAACATTAGTCTTGATATTATGAATTCATAGTTTTAATTTTTTTTCCCCCAACTGATAAGGCCGTAAGGTTAACAGCAAATTGTCTAGTAGCTAAATCATTGAGATAATGTAAGTGGTTAACTTTTGGTGAATATGTAAATTCAAAATTTTATCTTTCATTTTTTTATCTCCCCCATTTGTATGAAATCTAGGGAGAGGACAATCATCTTTTCTCTTCAGCAATGGCTTAATGTGGATCCAACATATCTATAATACAATGTACAATGTTTCAGTACTACATGAAGACTGGAGAGTGTAAATTTGGAGAAAGATGCAAGTTCCATCACCCAATTGATCGCTCAGCACCATCACAATCAAATTCAGCTGCACAACAATCTATTAAACTCACTCTTGCGGGATTACCGAGGAGAGAGGTTAGTTTGGTGCTCCACATTGCATTCTTTGAAGCACTTGTTCTTGAAAATAGAGCTGCTTCGTGTTTGATGTGCATTAAATATAACCCAGTACTTCAAAGTTCATATTGCCCATAAGCACTATATTTTTTTGGGTTTGTGTCATTTCATGCCTCATTTGCATTTCTCTACAGCATTCTTAGCTCTTAGGATAACATTGTCAGAAGGGGTTCTTGTAAAACTGTTTGGTTATATCACGATTGATGAGATAAGGGACTAGTTTGTTTAAGATTATAAAATAAAGTGATTTTGTTATTGGGAGCACAGGGGAACCTTAAACAGGACGAGGTATGAGGTAGGAGAAAAAAAAAATTTCAGCTTATTTTGATAAGCTATTCTATTCCAAATAGCTTATCAAAATAACCTGAAAACAGATTCTTTTTCAAACGAAACCTTTATGATTAGCTTAAGGTTCTCCCAACAATTCCAACTTGATCCCAACAACTTCCTCATGTATAACTAACCAAAATCACTTTTTTTTTTTTTAATAATTTTAAACAAACCGGTCCAAATTCAAGTTTGGAAATTAAATTCTGCTGGAATTTAAATAATTGCCATTTGAGATGCATCTATCAATTGGCCGAGTATTAGTAAGTAACCTTAGCAGGCTGCTGATCATTAAGTCCGCTTAGCGGACATATCCAAAAATATATCCAGGCAGGTAAGATTCATGTTGTGGCTTTTCTGGCAACCTAGGGCTTCTCCATTAATGTCCATTTGTCTAGTTTCGCTTGCTTTTGACAACTAAGGAGCCATGATATTTCTGCGCTATTGGCAGATGCAATTTTTTCACCTCTCTGACTGCCTTTGAGCCTGTCTTGAGGCAAGCTGGGGAAAATAAAGAAAGTTGTTTCTCTTAATTAGAGTTTTTTTTAAAGGTTTTATATGTTTATCAAGACATAAAAGTGTACTGTCAAAATGATAGAAAATCGTTGGAGCCCAGTAACTCCCAAAACCTAAAGAACTGAAGTGAAAAAGTACTTTGAGAGTGACTTCGATTTTTGAAAAGAAAAATGTTTTAAAATCAGCAAATATAACAATTGTTTTATGTTGACAGGGTGTTGTAATCTGTCCATATTATTTGAAAACTGGCACCTGCAAGTTTGGTGCAACCTGCAAGTTTGACCACCCTCCTCCTGGGGAGGTTATGGAGATGGCGAAGACGCAAGGAGCAAATGAAACCGATGGAGAGGAAGCAGAAGCTGATGAAACACAGGGTGATTCTGTTCAGGAAAAGAAGTGAGATCTTGCAGGAACCATATAAAGTCATTGATCGGTCCTTTAGTTTTAGCCATGGCTAGTAATGTCTAAATTGCTTGGTTTTAGATAATCACCTGTTCTTGACTCTTTAACCCGTAGTTGACTTGCACAATGCAGTCTACTCGGATAATGTACTCTTGATGTTCTGTAACTATTTTGCAAGTGACAGGTCAGAGTAGAAGACTAACATCAACGATTGTGGTTCATGTAGTAGAAAGAATGTTTTGATGTAATTTACTTTCTACTGTGATCATTTTGTCTTCTAATCCTGCTCATTTGACTCCATTTTTGTGATCTCACATGTCGCATTTTCCCCTTGGCCTGCCTGAAATTTCACAATTAACGCTTACATAGTTCGTTCTATGACTAGACTTTGGTCTTGCTCATCCCGCATGGACCCAAAATGACAAGCCATATTATTCATGACTAATGAATTATGCAACTTATTTGCTGGTAAAAAAAAAAGAAAAGGAATTATGCAACTTATTAAAACTTCTATATTTTATATTCATTTGTTTCATGACTATTTAATTAGATTAGATGTGGATTTGATGCATTTTATATGAGTATGACGAGCGAGTTGTGTTATTTATGATGTAAATATATTAAATTATTATAGATTTTATATCTTACGGTGGTAGTAATGATTATTGATTAATAAGATAATTTTAATGATTCTAGAACAGAATCTATATATAATTAATAAAAAATAAGCTTATAAATAAAACATAAATATTAATTTAATGAAGCCTTCAACAATGAGGCTTCCAGCCAAACCCAACGCCAAATCAAAAACTATCAAATGAACAAACAGATGGAAGGCAAATGATCCCTGAGCTCCATGCTACTCCAGCCTAAATATATTGCTATATGATGATGAATTAGAACATATTTGAGGGATGATAATCCTAATCAATTTTCAAAAGAGACTAGTTCTATGACGGGGCTTGAATTTTCAAATTGCTTCCCAAATGTCATCTTTTCTATTCTTAGCTCTATTACTACTTTCGATCCTTAATATAAAACCTTGTTTGACTTTTATTTTGATTCTAAATATAAGATTTCAATCTATTTTGTCTCTCATATATATATATATTCAAGATAGTTCTTCTAACAATGATAATTCTAATCAATACATTTAATTAGTAAAGATATTTTTGAAAAAACAGCACATATTTATTACAAATAACTAATTTAACTTCTTTCTTTAATTTCTTTAAATTAATCAACTAACTTTTATAATTATGACCGGAGGTAGTATTATTAATTAAGCATTTAGACCCTTTGAGTCATTAACTTTATCCATTTCACACCAAACGCATCCCTTTCTTCGAGGCACTGTTTGGTTGGAGGATTGTTGAGGGGAGAGGAGTAGAGGAAAAGGAAGGGAATGAGATAAGTGTGTTTGAATGGAAAAAATAAAAGGAAGGGAAAAGAAGAAATTTGTCTTTTAGTGCTCCTCTTCTTCCTTCTTGCTCTGCTCTAAATTTGTGGATTTTTAGAGAGGAGAGAAATATTATGTTTTATATTGATTAAACTACCCATGACAGCCTTTTAATATTCCAAGTTTGCCCCTTTTAGAAACCATTTTCTCACTTCTTTCTCTTTTCAGCCGCTCCTGATTCTGTGCTGCGTGATCCTTGCTCTTGAAGCCGTCGCTGCCTGCTCCTCCAGCCGCTGCCGTCACTGCCGTCTGTTCTGCACAATTTTGGCTTCCTTGTATTTATCTTTCCCAAGGTATGATCGTTATAATTTCTATTCAGAAATTTCATTTTGATTTTCGATGATGAATTTTTCTCTCTGATTTTTGAGTTTTTTTTTTTTGACACGCATATGAAAGATTGATTCGTTTCTCCCATTGCGTATATATGGAGAAGCTTTGATCTTGCTGAAGTGCATTGGTTATTGGGGGGATAAAGCTAATTGAAGGCGGAAAAGGAGAGAATCATCTTATCTCTGCATCAGCAAATCCATTTAATGCCCAAACATGAAGCTAGAATGCTGCGGATTAGCAAGTTGATTTGGGGCTAATTATTTGCATACATAGAAACAAAACCCTTTTAATCTGCCATTAATATTCAAATTACTCCAGGCCTGGAAGTGAGGATTTTTTTGGGGGGGGGGGTGAGATGAGAGCACATTGTAAAATCAGATTAACATGTTCTAAAGACGATACTGCATGAAGTGATTTAGAGACAAAATTAGATCTGACTTCAAAGGTGCAACTCTCCAAATTGTAAACAGGGTAAATGTCCGTACTGCACCATATCTACTAAAACTTGCATGATAATGCCAGCTGATCACCAAGAGATTCAGCTTACATGATTCAGCGTCTTTTAATTTAGACATCACATGACAATATTGTAGTTCATGCATCGGTTGTTCATGCAGTGGTCACTTGTATAAATATCAGCAATTATACTTGAATGAGCAGAAATCAACATATATTTATAAAATGCATTTTTCCTCCTTTCTGTTGGGGGTTGGAGGAGGGAGTGAAAGGTGTAAAAGAAATAATAATTCGCTAACCGACAGTGCCTGTTCTAAGCTCAAGGTAGCGAGGTCTTTGCCTTTCCTTCGCTCCTTTTCCCTTTGATGATTGTTTTATTGATTTATTCCCTCTATCTCGTATTATAACCAACAACAGTATCTCTCTCTTGTCTCTAAATATAAATAATATTTACAATTTTTTAAATTTTTTAGCGAATTCTCTATTTTGTCCTCATTAATGATTTATTTTAATATTTAATATATTATTATTTATTTTTCAAACCATTATCTCTCTATCATATATTCTCTCTCTTTTATAATTTTTTTTATTTTTCTTTCTTATACTCTCTCCTCATAAATAAGAGCATTTTAGTGAAAAAATTTCTAATTTTTACACATTTATTATCTTTAACTAATTTTAACTAACATTTTAATATGCGTGATTACTTCTTAATGATGCTTATAATATGGGACAAAGGGAGTATCATTTTGCTCGAATTATTGTACTGTTATTCGAGCATCTGTCCAAAAACAGTGTTCGATTGGGAATAAAATGTAGTTGTGTAATTTTGCTGATTTTAACACAAAAGCCAAAAGCGACTTCGCAGCAGAAATGCAGGTTGTTTGAAATGCGTATCGCTCTTCATGTGCATTCTTGAGCTAAAGAAACCTTGCTCTGCATGTCGCTCTTGAAATGCAGATGGTTTGAAAGTCACAAAAAAGAAAAAGAAAAAATAAAAAAGGGAGAGAAGTCCGAATTGAAGATGATAAATTCTTGAGCTACAAAGGAGAGCATAATCGAAAGAGCGGAAGGCAACCAATTAGTTAACACGGAGATAGACAACGGAAAACAAAAATTACTATGACCGATTCTAAGTCTGGACCACTGTCAAATTGAGCGGAGATGCCTCTTTCATGTAGTCCGTCTTCGTCTTTATTAAAAGAGCAGCAGGCCGCACTGGGGTTGCAGCCTCGATCTTTTTGACCTTCGCGGACAATGATGACGTCTTTGAGCATATGGACCCCCCAGAATGGATAAGCTGTGCAGCAGCTTTCTAGCAAAAGAAATATTCTTCTGGGTTTGTGGCTATATTGAGGTCAGGGCTTCTCGTTGGTTTATTGAGTTATATATTATCATTCTCATAGTTGGTATATCATATTGTACTGTATCAAATATGGATTCCTATCTATAAAATTGTATGATACTTGATGGGCCATTGAGTTTAGTATGTTGGCAAGCTTTCGATTACCATTCACTTTGATCCAGGCTCTTAAGGTTAATAGACTTCTACTCATAAATAACCTAATTAGGTGGAGATCTATGACCGGTCTTTCGGGCAACTCGCAAGCCATCGTTTTCTCTGAAAAAGGGGGTGCAAATTTGGAAATGAAACATTCTAATATCTTAATCTCAAATCTCTGCAAGGAAGGCAGAATAGATGAAGCACGCAAGGTGTTTGATGAAATGGTTGAGCGGGATGTCGTTTTATGGACAACTATGATAACTGGATATATTAAATGTGGGATGATGAACGAAGCAAGGAGGCTGTTTGATAGAGTAGATGCCAAAAACAATGTAGTCACATGGACTGCCATGGTCGCTGGTTATATAAAGTTCAATCAAATCGAAGAATCTGAGAGGTTATTTTATGCGATGCCTATGAGAAATGTTGTGTCTTGGAACACAATGATCGATGGATATGCACGAAATGGCCAAATTGAGTTGGCTTTAGATTTGTTTTGGAGAATGCCTGAGAGAAATGTAGTTTCATGGAATACTATCATAACAGCTTTGTCTCAAAGTGGGAGAATTGAGGATGCATGTCGGCTTTTTAATCAGATGCCAAAAAGGGATGTGATTTCATGGACTGCCATGGTTGTAGGATTGTTAAGAAATGGTAGAATTGATGAAGCTCGTGCTCTTTTTCATAATATGCCTGTCCGTAATGTGGTTTCATGGAATGCAATGATTGCTGGTTATGCCCAGAATAAAAGGTTTGATGAGGCTATCGAATTGTTCGAGAGAATGCCTGAACGGGACACATCTTCTTGGAATACAATGATAACAGGTTTTATTCGGAATGGGAACTTAGACACGGGTGAAAAGCTATTCAATGAAATGCCACGAAAAAATGTCATTTCTTGGACTGCTATGATGACGGGGTATGTGCAGCATGGGCGAAGTGAAGAAGCATTGAAAATGTTTAAGAAAATGCTAGCTGTCGATGGGATAACACCCAACACAGGAACCTTTGTAACTGTCTTGGGTGCTTGTAGTGACTTGGCTGGTCTTTGTGAGGGACAACAAATTCATCAACTAACAAGTAAAACAATCTATCACGACAACACATACATGGTATCTGCACTGATAAATATGTACTCAAAGTGTGGAGAGTTACATATTGCTAGGAAGTTGTTTGATGATGATTTATCAGGCCAAAGGGATCTGATATCTTGGAACGGGATGATCGCTGCATATGCACACCATGGAAGTGGTAAGGAGGCAATTAGCCTATTTAATGAAATGCAAAAATCTGGGCTTCACGCTAATGATGTCACTTATGTGGAATTGCTCTCTGCTTGTAGTCATTCTGGTTTAGTAGAGGAGGGGTTGAAATTCTTTGATGATCTATATAAAAACAAGTCCATCCAAGTCAAAGAAGATCATTACACATGTTTGATTGATCTTTGTGGTCGAGCAGGAAGATTGAAGGAAGCTTTTGATATCATTGAAGGGCTTGGGGAAAAGGCATCACTTTCCATTTGGGGTGCCCTACTTGCTGGATGTAATGTGCATGGAAATGCTGATATCGGTAAGCTAGCTGCAAAGAAGATTTTTAAAATCGAGCCTGAAAATGCTGGAACTTATTCATTACTATCTAACATGTATGCATCAGCGGGAAAGTGGAAAGAAGCTGCCATCATGAGGATGAAAATGAAGGACAAAGGATTAAAGAAGCCGCCTGGGTGTAGTTGGATAGAAGTCAACAATAAAGTGCAAGTATTTGTTGTTTGTGATAAGTCACATTCTCAATTGGAGGAGATAGACTATATACTTCTTGATCTGCATCCCAAAATGAAGAATATTGGGGACATGCCAGATGATGATTTATTTGTTCATTGTGGAAATTGAGTAGCATGAAATCGTATTGCCTGAAATTTGAATAATCTGGAAGGGATATGAAATGCAAGAAAGATCATTGGTGCTTGTGATTGACGTTGTTAAAGAGATATTAACAGGCTTCTAGCCCAAATAACTTTGCATGTGAGGGAGGGTCATACATATCAAAAACACCATTCTCTTTTGACCAATCAGCAAAAAGTTTGATAATTGGCTCTTTAATTCTTAGAATTATATATATTATAAAAATTCTAACAAACTGTCCTAGTCATGAATTATGAATATCACGGCTCATTTTTCCAGACTCAATAGACCCATGCTAGTTTTAGGAAAAGATTAACTGGTATGTGTAAGTGGTGATGGTAAATATGTTTCAGAGTTCAGGAACATGATTCTTGGCACTTGAAGGCTGGAGCCTTTGAAATTGTTGATTGTGAGAGCTCTGAGACCATGTTCAGCACAAATTTTTCCCCAAAACTTATTTATGCTTTTGTAGGTCTAATAAATTACTTGTAATTGTATATGCATGCTTTCCTCTCTTTCAGATTCTCACACTCACTGACGCCACCATACTATAATTTCCTTTGCAAACATCATATGCGTTTACTATACTGTAGGTGTGCATTTCCCCAAAAAGAAAATGAGACGCAGACGCCAAGGTTTAAATATTCCTGGTAGAATTACCACCTCATTAATTATTTAACTGACTTCTGGGTTGAATTTGTATACTTTCAAACCTGTTGATCTCATGCGTATTCATAGACTTGGTCTGTTTCAAGTTTTAGCGTGTTTATTATCAAATAATTTGATTCAAGAGTGATAAGCATCTTCAAAAATTTTATTTTGCTGATGCGTGCCAGCATGGAAATAATCTAATAGAGCACTGCTAGCTAAACCGTATAAAAATTCACATTTAATGATGAAGTGACAAGCATAGAAAGAAAGTGACGGAGGCATGGTGGCAGTGGCATAGCTGAAGAGGAAGGCTGGCATAGCGCAAGTCATGATCCCAAAGCAGAAAAAGAGAAGGAGATGGAAAGCATTTAGCAGAGCAAAGCATGTGAACAAGCTTAACCAAGGTATCTGATCTATAAACAAAAGCAGAGTGAGGCCCAGGGAAAGAAGAGGGGAAAGTGAAATAGAGTGAGTAAAATTGAGAGTGAGAGGAGAATGGGGTTTAAGGAAGTGAGTCAATCGGAGGAAGAGAAATAAAGGGCAAGGATTTAGTGAGGACCTTTGTTAGAAGGGAGAAGGGAATATATATTGATGTGAGCCCCCCCCCCCCCCGGGGGGGGAGGATGCTGTGAGACATTGAAAAACATGCGGGGAAGATGTTGAAGGAAATGAAAGGGGAAAACACTCGAGAGAAAGGGCTATTTGCCTATTTCCCATCTATTCTTTTGCCTCATGTTCTTTTTGTTTCCCAATAGTCATGATTCTTCTTGTCTAGTTTCTGGGCTGTTGCTTCATTGATGAGGAGCAATTGCACATTTTGTGCCTGGATTCTCTTTGGGTATAGAATAGCAGAGCTTCATTCAAGATGTCTGTTTTGCTCTTTCATGTAGTCTTGCTGTTGTTGTTTCTTCTTCGGGTTGGTTTATTTCCTGTCCACGATCTCATGGATATACTGCACAACTTACCAAGGCCCTGTTTCTGTGCTTACCTCAATAAAGCTTGAAGCCACATGATTATTGATCCTGCTTGACTTTTGTGAATTGCTAGGTTTTCATTTGTTCTATGACTAGTTTTGATATGTTATCTGCACATGAGATTCAGTGATATGTTTATGGTATTTCTGAGTTGGCAGTTAGAGTATGCATCGGCTGGGTAGTTTGTTGTATGGGTATGAAAAAGTCTGAGAAGTTGTTTCCCTTTGCTTAGGGTATGCTCCATGAAACCTAGTTTATGCCATAGAATAATACTATTTCAGAGCTGTGTTTCCATCAAAGGTATTTTTAAAATCAAACATGATGATCGTGTTTTCAGTGGCAAACTATCTGCTGAACTGGGATGAGGTGGGGAGTTGCTTCATGTGACTTTATTATGTGTAAACTGTAGAGGGAGATTTGGCTTAGCTTATCATATGGTTAAGGACGTAAGCTTCTGTTTGGGTTCTGATTATGTGGCTTTTATTCATGGCTAGCCTTTCTCTTTGTCCATTTTGCACTTGAGTTACACTTGGGGGGAGAACAATTTTAAGAACCTTATCTTGCATTTTGGCACTTTGATGACGGGTGAGTTCTTAGACTTGTAGAGTTTGGATTATAAAAAATATTGTTGCCAATGAAGATCTGTGTAGGGTCCATTTTTGGTTGTGAAAAGGGGTCCTCAAAAGAAGGGTGTTGTAATCTGTCCATATTATTTGAAAACTGGCACCTGCAAGTTTGGTGCAACCTGTAAGTTTGACCACCCTCCTCCTGGAGAGGTTAGGGAGATGGCGAAGGCACAAGGAGCAAATGAAACCGATGGAGAGGAAGCAGAAGCTGATGAAACACAGGCTGATTCTGTTCAGGAAAAGAAGTGAGATCTTGCAGGAACCATATAAAGTCATTGATCGGTCCTTAGTTTTAGCCATGGCTAGTAATGTCTAAATTGCTTGGTTTTAGATAATCACCTGTTCTTGACTCTTTAACCCGTAGTTGATGTTCTGTAACTATTTCTCAGGTGACAGTTCAGAGTAGAAGACTAACATCAACGATTGTGGTTCATGTAGTAGAAAGAATGTTTTGATGTAATTTACTTTCTACTGTGATCATTTTGTCTTTCAATCCTGCAGACAATCGGAGTTTCGTTCTCATTTGACTCCATTTTTGTGGAGGTCTCACATGTCGCATTTTTTCCTTGGCGTACGTAAAATTTCACAATTAACGCTTACATAGTTTGTTCTATGACTAGACTTTGGTCTTTGCTCATTTAGTATGGACTCAGAATGATTGGTCATATTATTCATGAATAATGAATTATGCAACTTATTAGAACTATATTTTATGGGGAAAATGGCAACAGCAAAAAAACTGCCAAAATAGAATAATTGTTAATTAGTACCCATTATGGGTTTTCACAATAATAGTGTGAATTTTGATAACAATTTTTGTAAACGGGTCCTGTATGTAATTTTTCTATTTTAATGATCTTTTTTCCTCCCTATTTTTCCTATTTTATATACATTTGTTTTATGACTATTTAATTAGATTAGACGTGGATTTGATGCATTTTATATGGTGTATGATGAGCAAGTTATATTATTTATGATGTAAATATCTTAAATTATTATAGATTTTAGGGAGAATTGCAATTAGGTTCCACTCAAGGGAATTAAATGCAAAAAGGACTCTTGAAATCATAAAATTATTCTGAAGTCTTAAGAAATCTTTTTGTAATAAATTTTATTTGTTTAATTATCAAATTATCCTTTTTTTTTAATTTGCATTGACAACTAAAAGAGCAGTGGTTGACAACTCAGGGTGTAAGGATTGACAACTATCGCGACTGGTTTAACATCATAAGTTGTCAAACTAGTCGCGATAGTTGTCAATCCTTACACCCTGAGTTGTCAACCACTGCTCTTTTAGTTGTCAATGCAAACTAAAAAAAAAAGAAGGGTAATTTGGTAAGTAAACAAATAAAATTTAATGCAAAAAAAATTTTGAAACTTTAAAATAATTTCATGATTTCAAGGGATTTTTTTGTATTTAATTCCTTTGACTGAGACCTAATTGCCATTTTCCCTAGATTTTATATCTTACGATGACAGTAATGATTATTGATTAATAGGATAATTTTAATGATTCTAGAACAGAATCTATACATAATTAATAAAAAATAAACTTATAAATAGAACATAAATATTAATTTAATGAAGCGTTCAACAATGAGGCTTGCATCCAAACTCAACGCCAAATCAAAAACTATCAAATAAATAAACAGATGAAAGACAAATGAATGAATGATCCCTTAGTTCGATACTATAGCCTGAATCTATTGTAAATGATGATGAATAATACTCCTCCAATCCTTAATATAGGATCTAATTGTTGAGTTAGTTTTGGTCCTAAATATAAGACTCATTTCTCATATCTATCAATTTTCTCTAAATTACCTCTATGGACACTCCTTTAACTATAATCAAGTAGAAGAGGAAAAGAGGGTATTAAGAAAGATGATTATGGTATTTTAGAAAAAACATGTCTCATTTCTTATAATTAACTAACTTATCTAACTTCTTTAATCTAATCAAATTAGTTAAATGAGTCTTATATTAAGGATTGGAGAAGTAGCATTTTAGCGATGGTAATCCTAATCAATTTTCAAAAGAGATTAATTCTATGACGGGTCTTGAATTTTCAAATTGCTTCCCAAATATCATCTTTTAGCTCTATTATTATTAATCAAGCACTTAGACCCTTTGGACCATTAACTTTATCCATTCACACCAAACACGTCCCTTTCTTCAAATGTTGTGAGAGATAAAACACACACCCCCCCCCCCCAACCAAAAAAAAAGGGGAACTAGCAAGTTATGGACCACAAAATTCCTTAGTTCAAATTCTATTTCTCCGTCATGCAAAATAAGCTACCAACTGTGTACTGTAAGTCATTAGCCCAGCATGCTGCATTAGGTTTCAAAGAGAACTACAGCATGTTTGGAGCCACACTATATGTAATTTCAAACCGCAGTTGATCTAATAATCAACTTTGGACGAATGAGATTTTGATCATCCTGAAATCAAACTGCCCTAACAAAGAAATACTATATCCGGTCCTAATTATAAGAGCTAGTTGATTAATTTGAGAAATTCAAGAAGGAAGTTGAGTTAATTATTTGTCATAAATAGGTGTTGTCTTTCCTAAAATATCCTTACTAATCAAGTATATTGGCTAGAATTACTATTATTAGAAGGATTATCTTGAAAAAAATACATAAATATTATAAACAAAACGGATTACGATCTTACATTTGGGATCAAAATAAAAGTAAAATGAAATCTTATATGAGAGATCTCTCAAAATAAAAGTCAAGCTAGTTGATTAAGGACCGGAAGTAGTATTATGTTTTTTGTCCACTTGTCAATGTCGTTTACTTATGAGAGATCAAATCCTTCGTCTTTTTTTTTTTTTTTTAATTATGAGGCAAGCACTAGGCTGAAATGAGAAA